GTTTCAGAATGTGGTTGGGTGAGATGTTTCAGAATGTGGTTGTGGGTGAGTTGTTTCAGAATGTGGTTGTGGGTGAGTTTTTTCAGAATGTGGCTGTGAGTGAGTTGTTTCAGAATGTGGTTGTGGATGAGTTGTTTCAGAATGTGGTTGTGGGTGAGTTGTTTCAGAATGTGGTTGTGGGTGAGTTGTTTCAGAATGTGGTTGTGGGTGAGTTGTTTCAGAATGTGGTTGTGGGTGAGTTGTTTCAGAATGTGGTTGTGGGTGAGTTGTTTCAGAATGTGGTTGTGGGTGAGTTGTTTCAGAATGTGGGTGAGTTGTTTCAGAATGTGGTTGTGGGTGAGATGTTCCAGAATGTGGTTGTGGATGAGTTGTTTCAGAATGTGGTTGTGGATGAGTTGTTTCAGAATGTGGTTGTGGGTGAGTTGTTCCAGAATGTGGTTGTGGGTTCCAGAATGGTTGTGGAAGTGAGTTGTTTCAGAATGTGGTTGTGGATGAGTTGTTTCAGAATGTGGTTGTGGGTGAGTTGTTTCCAGAATGTGGTTGTGGGTGAGTTGTTTCCAGAATGTGGTTGTGGATGAGTTGTTTCAGAATGTGGTTGTGGGTGAGTTGTTCCAGAATGTGGGTGAGAATGTTTCAGAATGTCAGAATGGTTGTGGATGAGTTGTTCCAGAATGTGGTTGTGGATGAGTTGTTCCAGAATGTGGTTGTGGGCGAGTTGTTTCAGAATGTGGTTGTGGGTGAGTTGTTCCAGAATGTGGTTGTGGGTGAGTTGTTTCAGAATGTGGTTGTGGGTGAGATGTTTCAGAATGTGGTTGTGGGTGAGTTGTTTCAGAATGTGGTTGTGGGTGAGAATGTGGTTGTGGGTGAGTTGTTTCAGAATGTGGTTGTGGGTGAGTTGTTTCAGAATGTGGTTGTGGATGAGTTGTTTCAGAATGTGGTTGTGGGTGAGTTGTTCAAGAATGTGGTTGTGGGTGAGTTGTTTCAGAATGTGGTTGTGGGTGAGTTGTTTCAGAATGTGGTTGTGGATAAGTTGTTCCAGAATGTGGTTGTGGATAAGTTGTTCCAGAATGTGGTTGTGGGTGAGTTGTTTCAGAATGTGGTTGTGGGTGAGTTGTTTCAGAATGTGGTTGTGGATGAGTTGTTTCAGAATGTGGTTGTGGATGAGTTGTTTCAGAATGTTTCAGAATGTGGTGTGTGAGTTGTTTCAGAATGTGGTTGTGGGTGAGTTGTTCCAGAATGTGGTTGTGGATGAGTTGTTTCAGAATGTGGTTGTGGGTGAGTTGTTTCAGAATGTGGTTGTGGGTGAGTTGTTTCAGAATGTGGTTGTGGGTGAGTTGTTTCAGAATGTGGTTGTGGGTGAGTTGTTTCAGAATGTGGGTGAGTTTCAGAATGTGGTTGTGGATAAGTTGTTCCAGAATGTGGGTTGTGGATAAGTTGTTTCAGAATGTGGTTGTGGGTGAGTTGTTTCAGAATGTGGTTGTGGGTGAGTTGTTTCAGAATGTGGGTGAGTTTCAGACTGTGGTTGTGGATAAGTTGTTTCAGAATGTGGTTGTAGGTGAGTTGTTTCAGAATGTGGCTGTGGATGAGATGTTTCAGAATGTGGTTGTGGGTGAGTTTTTTCAGAATGTGGCTGTGGATGAGTTGTTTCAGAATGTGGTTGTGGGTGAGTTGTTTCTGAATGTGGTTGTGGGTGAGTTTTTTCAGAATGTGGCTGTGAATGAGTTGTTCCATGATGTGGTTGTGGGTGAGTTGTTTCAGAATGTGGTTGTGGGTGAGTTTTTTCAGAATGTGGCTGTGGATGAGTTGTTTCAGAATGTGGCTGTGGATGAGCTGTTCCAGAATGTGGTTGTGGATGAGTTGTTCCAGAATGTGGCTGTGGGTGAGTTGGAATAAAGGCAAAGCAATAAAATGGCAGTACAAAAGAGAGTGAAAGTACAAATCAAAAACAGTGCTCATAAAGACAGTGGTGATAATATTCACCTATCTGCATGTCTCCAAAATGGGTTGAGTTCTGGGTAAAGAGTTATGTTCACACGAGACCACTAACGGTATGGGGTGGGGGTGAGGTTCTTTGTTCATGCATGTCATTGTATTCTATTTGGGCGGATTGATGTTCATTATGTTAGTCACTGGATTGTGTGGTCCAGAGTGTTTACAGATGGCTAACATAGCTGAATTATTGCTGAGTGTTTTGATGAACAAAAAAAACAAACAAAAAACATTGCAAGGTTGACTTTATTTCCTTTTTACTGTTACAGCAATGAATATATTACAACTCTGAAAGTTATATCAATATTTATATAGTGTGTTTATTCTGTGTATTGAAAAATACTTGATGTTTGCCTCATATTCTGTCAAACTGTTCTCATATGTTTGAGTCTTTTAGCATGCAAACTTTCAGTAATGGCTAAATCATACAAATCTGTTGATTCAACATCAAGAACCAACAGATTTGAGTGATTTCTCCAACTTGAAACCATGCTATGGTTAAATTATATGTACAGCGTGTGAAATTTACACTGGTCCTGGGGTCCCTGGCAAGTTAAAATTCATCATGACCACTAAATGATAAGTCCCAGTGGCCAGTGAATTTTGTATTGATAGTTAAGTAATTAACTTTGATAGTGCTTGTGGTCCCGAGGTAGAGTATGTCACTAATTACCGTAACAAAGTCAGTAATCCGGGGATGTGCGTTCAGGCCCCAGCAGCACTGATTAATCTGAAAAAGTGTGCCTGATAAAGTGAACTACTCCCCCATTCCTGAGATGTAAGCTTCAGTATCATTAAGGACCAGTAAAAACATTAGCACTAACTTTAGCCCTGGAATGATACATTCATGTCTCAAATTATTTTTTTTTATTCTTTAGTTCAATTCACATAAGAGTTCTCATCATATTACAGAACATAAAAACAGTACACTGATACAGTATACTGAGTTAAACCCAGAAAACTGATTAATTCCAATTATCTTTTCATGCTTTTATATATGAAATTATATATATCAACAACAAAACAGTACCATGGCTCTGTAGCTCACCTATATTTCAAGACAAAAACATCAGCAAAAACCACAACACAGGGCAGTTGTCAGCATGTGTATGAGGTATTCATGGGGGTAGTAACCGCTGGAGAATTTGCAAGATCATTTACAATAACACACCCACCAGTCCATGCATCCCAGGGTGGTGAAAACAATGTTCATGATAACCTCAACAACCATACATTCATGGATAACACTCAATCAGACTATATTCAGTAACAATTACGTTCTCTATCATTACAAGCCCCAATCATTCATTTGATAATAAGTGATAACAATATTCATGATCATCACACGATCCTTAGATAACACCCAATCACTGACTATATTCAACGATTTCAACACTTCATGGTCAATACAAAACCCCTAAACAAAATCCAGTCACAATATATTCAGTATTCACACCGGTAATGATTATCACAAGACCATCAATAACAAGCAATCACTCACTATTTTCAATGAAACACTGTTCATGGTCAATACAAACCCCATAAATAACTTTCAATCACACTATATATCAGTATTAACACTACTATCATTCCACCCCTAAATAACACCCAATCACTCACTTTTCTATCACGAGACCTGTATATGACACTTCGCTGAACGCACCTACGAAGATACGGGTTAGAATTGGTCATTGGCAACCCATTCAGAGGTGACTGACAGGATCGGGTGGTCGGGCTTGTTGACTTATGGACAAATGTCATTGTATCCCCATTGCGTAGGTCAATGCTCATGCTGCTGATAAATGGATTGTCTGGTCGAGACTCAATTATTTACAGACCGCTGCCAAATAGCTGGTATATTGCTGAGTGTGGCGTTTAACAACAACCAACTAACTATTGTCTGCACTACAAGGTGAGCTGAGGTGAATTTGGGTTAAACGTCGTGCTTGAGAATATTTCGCTCATATGACGACGTGCATGCATGTGTATGTGTAGGTGCGGCTGCTTGTACTAGCCACGACTTAAGCTGGTTTTATTGTGCTAGCCCACTGAGATACCATGCCGCAGTTAAGCATGAATACCCCACTCAGACACATTATACTGACTCCGAGCCAACCAGTCCTTGTTGTACTCATTAATGCCGAGCGCCTGGTAGGGACCAACAAGTACCATATTTTAACATCTTTTGGTATGACGCGGTCGGGGATCGAACCTGCGACTTTCCGCTCTCCCGGGTGGACGCTCTAACCATTACACCACGGAGGCGGTCTGCACTACAAGGGTTGAATGATATGTTCTGAGATTCACCAAAAAAGACTCACAACTAGTCAATCAACCCTGGTATATACAGGATGATAATCACAAGAACATCATGCAATACTGTCATTCACATAGCCCCAGATCAGAAACAATAGCACTACATTACACTGATTATTACTTTATGTTTTAGAATCCACTGATTTCTTTTTTTCACCACTAGTCTTAAAAAAATTTAAAATGCAGGGATTAACATTATTCAGTCTAAGTAAACTTAGGCTCAGTATTATTCGTTACACTGCTATACTGAGTCTAACAAAACCTAGTAGAAGGTCGTGTCAGCTAACCTTTGAGTGACCTATGACTGTCCAATCAAATGCGAGACGGCCGAACGGATTTAACCAATCAGACAACGGCTACTTGTTGGGGTTCGGCAGGACTTTACAAAACGGTTTTTCGATTTTCTCTTCCCTGGTTGCTGACACTAATCTATCAACAAACGAAATCTGCATAAAACACAGATATTTGACCTGCAGTATATACACTTATGGATTTCTAATGACATGGTTACTATTTGCTTATATTTTCGCAAGATGACATCCTTGAATATTGACAAAAACGCTATTTTCAGCGACTGTTTACTTATTGCGTGTATCACTCGGAAGCGATCGTGCGGAAAATAGCATTCGGAATCGTTCGAGGTTTTGAGGTAAAGGTTCAAACGGTATGTGCGAATGTTAACTTTCACGATTTGGTAAGCTGTGTTCTGATTGGTCAGTCCAAAAGGTTAGCTGACGCGACCTTCTACTAGGTTTTGTTAGACTCAGTATAGCATTATTGTGTGTTGTTTTCTCAAAAACAATTCTACACACAAGTATCTCTTACTCACATCATTGACAGGTGATCAAAAGAGATCAAATTTGAACTATTATTGTAGAAGGTAAAATATTAGTCTGACATCATATTTTAGTTACTGTTTAAGACATGTGTCAAACATAAATATGAAGGTTCAGCAATTCATTATATCAACATGTATCACTGTTTGAGATGTATCACTGTTTGAGATGCTAATTAATGTTGTCGCTTAGTAACAAAGAATTTAAACGTATATAAAGATTATATCAGTGTTCATCTTAAAGTTTGGTTTAAAAACTTTACATTTTTACAAAAGAAAATATATCACATGAACAAGATCAGCCTCTGTGTCCACAGTGTCATGAGTATTTCATGAATGTCTTCAAGAGCACGTCAGCTGCATAGCCAGGAGTGATGACTCCTCGAACCACCATCTTTTCCAGATCGGCTATCTTCTTGGCCACACCTTCCTGTTTGTAGAATGCCTCCATGATGTAGTCTTGGATGTGGTTCCACATCCAGATCTTCAGTTGTTTCTCACGCTTCACTTGCAACTCACCGGACTCAAATGTTAATGTTTTGTAGTTCACCATTATGTTCCACAACTCTGGCACGCCCTCTTTGGTTAATGACGATATGCGCTTTACCTGAAGGACAATGTTCCTTTACGTTAATCCTGTTATCAACCCCAGCATTACTAGTAGGGCAGATAATGGAAAAATGTTCACTTTGTGATACAAGCAACAAAATTTGTATACAAGTTCACTCTGGTACATTTACTGAAAAAATATTGTTGGCCACTCAAAATTCCAAGATGGACATCATTTATATTACACTTCTTCTCAAAATATATAAACCATCTAAGATAAAAGACTGCATAACTTCTACTGCTCTACCTTAGGTTTCCACACTTTTGATCTTTGTCTCATGAACTTGAGGGCACTGACATACTCGGCCTGTATCCGCCGTGCCGCTGCAACAAGATCTCCGTCACTCTTGTTTATGACCACCATATCTGCCACCTCAACTATACCCTTCTTTATACCTGCAACATTGTCACAGGGTAGTGATGATTATCATCTTTGTTATCAGTCAGTGTCGTAACGTATTTGCAAGACAGCCTACCGTCTCTTGTATGCGAGACGGGTACACTGTGTGGTACTAAGTGAAACGCTTGTCATAACCCATCCTTGATAATCTCCAGGGTATACATTCTGATAAATCTCCACTATACCCTGGATGCATCTACGACTCGAACCGATTTTATTACCTCCCTTGGTTTGCTTTTTATCCAATCAGGTGTCTACGCTGGGAAGTTGAACATACCAATCACAACTCACGTTTGCTTTTTAAATTATCTAACTGATTAAACTTGGCAACACAATAATATATTGTTGCAGAGGTACTCTGAAAGAGCTAGAAAGGAGTTCTTGCATATATTTTTTTAAGATTTCGATTTGTCTGTATGTTTTCCCACCAAATCTGAGTCGAACTGCGAACAAACTTTCGCGGCTGCGACCGCTATCTTTGTTGACACTGGCAAGCTCGGTTGTAACGGTGGCTTATCTGATTGGCTACTGTGAGAATGCAGAGCCAACAAAGGGAGCTATAAGATGCATCCAGGGTATAGTAGAGATTTATCGGAACATATAGCCCTGGAGATTATCGAGGATGGTCATAACCCTAATAATGCTAATGTAACAACTGAGGGGGATTCATGTCACATAGTTGAAAAATGTAAGGACCCTAAGGCCCTAGATTCATATAAAACAGTTAAAGTCCCTAAGGCCCTAGATTCATATAAAACAGTTAAAGACCCTAAGGCCCTAGATTCATATAAAACAGTTAAAGTCCCTAAGGCCCTAGATTCATATAAAACAGTTTCAAGACCCTAAGGCACTAGACACAGGGGCTTGTAACGCCAAAAACTGCCATCAAGGTATTGACTATTACTGACGGTGTCTTAGCACTATATAAAAGGAAAGGGATGTAATGAGGTCAACACACCAAGTTGGTTTCAGGGCGAATTCAACAATGCTCACTGTATTTATCCCATTTAAAGTATGCACACATGTAAATCTATTGGCTTGAAATGTGTGCATACTTTAAATGGGATAAATACAGGCCCTAGATTCATATAAAACAGTTAAAGACCCTAAGGCCTTAGATTCATATAAAACAGTTAAAGATCCTAAGGACCTAGATTCATATGACATAGTTGAAGACCCTAAGGCCTTAGTTTCTCATAACATAGTTGAAGGCCCTAATGCCTTAGATTCATATATCATAGTTGAAGTCCCTAATGCCTTAGATTCATATATCATAGTTGAAGACCCTAAGGCCTTAGATTCATATATCATAGTTGAAGACCCTAATGCCTTAGATTCATATATCATAGTTGAAGACCCTAATGCCTTAGATTCATATATCATAGTTGAAGACCCTAAGGCCTTAGATTCATATATCATAATTGAAGACCCTAATGCCTTAGATTCATATATCATAGTTGATGACCCTAAGGCCTTAGATTCATATATCATAGTTGATGACCCTAAGGCCTTAGTTTCTTATATCATAGTTGAAGACCCTAAAGCCTTAGTTTCTTATAAGATAGTTGATGACCCTAAGGCTTACACAATCTCCTTCAGGGACACCCAATATTAACAAACATTTCCTGAAGTACTTCACCTTGAAGTGCAACCCCTCCTGCTGGTGGGTGGTAGATTTGAATAACAAAGGTGAAGACCTAAAGGATCCCATCACCTCCCTTAATGTTGAACACTGAATGACATTAACAAACATTTTCTAAGCACCTCACCTTGAAGTTCGTCGCCTCCTGCTGGTGGGATGAGAAGACAGAACATGTCCACCATGTCTGCCACTACAAACTCTGACTGCCCTACACCTGCAAACAGGAGAAGAAAGAATTTACACCACCACCTCATCACAATCAGATCATTCACTCCAAGAGATATCTCTACATTAAGATCTGATGACACCTTAGAAAGTCATGTCAGTCGAACTTTTCAAAAACAGAATCAATGTAAAGGCTTCTATGTTCTCAGTACAAGCGAGTTAAATGAACACTAACTTGAAGGATTAAATCAAATTAAGCAACTGAAACTTTTAGAATTATTATGTTGATATTCTATACACCCTGCTGTTTCTGACTGTTCGGATCTAAAACCAAACATGAGTTCCACAAAAACATAATCCTTTTTTGTATGGGTATTTTTTGTTACTCAGCCTATCTGGTCACTTGATGGTAGGTTTAAATCGGCCAAGTTTTCATTGACATGACATGATATTACTGAAATACTTCTAAATCCATTCTCTTATGGTTAGTGCTGGAGTGATTGATTGGCCAGTCATTTGATCTTGCTTGCATCAGCAGTTATCGATGAGCACAGGAGACTAATTGATATTCGTAAAACATGAAACATCAATGTAAACAACATGATATTTTGCTGTACATACCCACAGTTTCAACTAGAGTGACATCATAGCCTGCCCCCTCACAGAGAACGATAGCCTCATTGGTTGTCCGTGTCACCCCTCCCAGTTTCCCTGATGAGGGGGAGGGGCGGATGTAGGCATTCATGTCTCGGGACAGCTCCGGCATCCTCGTCTTATCACCAAGGAGGGACCCTACAAGACACAGATAACTTTATCCACACATTTCAAAAGCTTCAAAAACTTCTACAGTAGAATTCAAAAGACAGATTAATTGTTGGAGTACATATCATGTACATGGAGTAGTGGTGTTCCGATGATCGAAAATAATTGAAAATCGATCGAAAGAAGGATTAAAAATAAATATTGATTGTAAAAAACATTTTCGATTAATCAGAATTTTGTTGTTTTAGTATAACACACTTGAATTAAGTAAACCAACCATTAAATTTGACGAATATTTGTGAACAAACATGCGCTCAACAGCGTAAAGCTCTGTGCATTGTATTCTAGTTTCGTATTCATCACTATGGTAAATATTACATCTATTGTGAACGTAATGAAATATACTGATTAATGATTGTTGTATAAATAAACAGAATGACAGTATTAGTTATAAATAAAATCATTAATTAGAAAAAGCCTGGGGAAAAAACCTTAAACTTGGTGATTACATTACAAATGTATATACATGTATTTCGATTATAATCGATAATCATTCACCACAAGTCCTCAGATAATCGATAGTGGATTTGGTTTCAAATTCCCAACACTAACATGGAGTAATAAAGGTGAGTCTGGTATATATATTTAACAGTGTTCTAAATGGAAATTTTGTATCAGGGATTAAAGATCATGACGTAAATGGTAACTTGGCAAATTTGAAGGTGCAAAAATTCTGAACAGCAGCATTGACTTGTGGGAAAATTTGGAATAATATTCCTAGGATGCCCAAGGAGACGACGAATATGATGATGATGACGACGATGATGATGATGTTTATGATGTATTTTACCTCCAGTTGTTGATGATGAGGGATCAACAGCAAGGACAGCCACCTTGAATCCCTTGTCTGTCAGAAACTTGCCAAAAGCCTCAATAAATGTACTCTTTCCAGCTCCTGGGGGGCCTGTCAAACCTTTTGAAGTGTACAAGAAAACACTTAGAAAACTTAGTGACCATTATCAACAATAATTACCAAACAAAATAATATATTTGTAGACATAACAAACTTCATGGATAACAACATCATCTATTTCGTGAGTGTGACGCTTCAATACAGATTCTTGTTTTTGTTGTACAAGAATCTTCGAGTGTGAAATTTGATTCAGATTCTGGTACTGTTGTCAAGCAGGAATGCTTGAATGGTACAAGAATCTGTATCGAAATGCAAAAAATACTAACAGTTCTAAAATAAAATTGGAAACGTCTTCTTAGAGGTACAGTCTTACTCTTACACAAGTAATCAACAATACAATTTGGTCTGTACAGAGATCTTTTTGTGTTTGTAATTTTTTTTATTCAGCTTTTGTCGTAGCAGAGGGTACCATGACCATGTAAACAATAAGGGTGAAGATAGTGGTCTATCATTATTGTAACAATGATGATAACGTTTATAGGAAGCTTACCTATTCTAAATGACTGAGTCCCTCGTAGTGTATGTTGGGTCTTGTGTTTGTTGTAGTCAAGTACTCTGGATAGCAATTGCTGGGCCTGTTTCCTCTTTCCTGGATGGCTGGACTCTATAAGGGTTATAGACCTTGCTAGACATGACCTGTCACCTTTTTGTTAATCCCTTGAAAAGCTTATGCACAAGTTCATCTTTATCACTCACGTCATACTTAGCCCGTACTTGCTTCTCTTCAGTCTGATTCACACATGTTCCGGAATGAAACGAGTTTGAGTTTATTTTTAGTCTCTCGTGTCCATTTATAACTTGTTTTGGCCTAAGTGGTATTGAAGATATACTCCTCTGTATGTTTAAGAATGCTTTGTGCCATGCAAACTGATGTTTCATGGATAAATTGCAAGACACTGAGGCAAGGAATGAGATCATGTGACATCTGGCCATTTGTTTCTCTGAAACATAGATTTACTGTTTAAATACTTTGTGAACACAAATAATGATCAGTGTCAGGTGATATGGTTAAAAGTAATGAGTTTATACAGTGTGATTATAGAATATGTTCACCACCTTATTTTGTGACTATTTTACCATGTTTACCAATAATCCTTTCCTCTAATACTCAGGGTTAGGTTAGGGTTAGGGTTAGGGTTTTGGTTTTAGGGTTAGGGTTTGGGTTAGCCTTTCTTTTTCTTCCTGGGTGCCGAACATATCCTATAGAGGCTCCATTTATATTTTTTGCCTACATTTATATCAGCAGTAAAGGATACTACTGACCAAATGAAAACACCAACGTTCTAATCATGCAACCACCGAACCATACACGATATGAGTCCACAAATATCGCCACGATACCACTCTGTTTCTTTACGTTCCATTATTGGATATGGCAGCCAGGGATAACGGGTTTTCGACACTTTTGTCGAATGGCTACTGTAGACTGACTCGAAATTACTGTTCCATGAGCAAAGGCCCAGAAAATAAGTGAAATATCTACAAACTTCACTGCATTCTTGGTGAACGGGGGCGGTGGGGTAGCCTAGTGGTTAAAGCGTTGGCTCGTCACGCCGAAGACCCGGGTTCGAATCCCCACATGGGTACAATGTGTGAAGCCCATTTCTGGTGTCCCCCCGCCGTGATGTAGCTGGAATATTGCTAAAAGCGGCGTAAAACCAAAACTCAGTCAGTCAGTCTTGGTGAACGAAAACTGGGGACATGAAAATCTAATCTAAATTTGATACAAAAAGAATATACAGTAGGTTCAAATTCTGATCAGCACACGTGCTCTTTCAATCTGAACTAAACCGCCAGGTTAATGTTGGTTAAAATCTTCCCTATCCACTGTTCACCTCACCCTAACCTGCTGTTCGCTTTCTGGACGTGAATATTCGTCTGCAAGAATATGAAACCGGAAGTTATCTGCGATGCTATTACTCGGAAGTAAATGGAGGCGATGGAAATACGAGAGAATTGTTGACATTCGTTGACAAAATACAGTTGTTACATTTGAATTACGATTTCAAAGGAGTGCATTTCATATGCAAACACTGAACAAATTCTCGCACTATGAATTGAGTGCGTACCTACCATGGCCTACCGGATGTTGTAGCAGACAACTCAAGAAAACTCAAGTAACAGGTGCGTGTGGTGCATTTGTCTTTGAGTTACTTAAATGTACCTTTTGTCTCCGCATTGTTATTTCATTGTCAGTTCTCATAGGGTGGGTGATGTGTACATTTCGCCATGAACACTAATAAGTGTTATCAAAGGCAAATGCTGGACTGTCGAATGAGTTTTATTGGACACTCATACTCATACGAGTCATACTCAGTCTCACTAGTCACTCTCACTCTTAGATCAAAAGCTACTCATCAGTTGCTTTCTTTATGGTGATATTGTCAGATCTCGATTTGATCCCTTTGAGGGCTTGACGCCTCGCATTAATCTTCCCCCCTGTACTCATATTTGTTGTGAAATGTATTTACAGTATGTGCCTTTACATTGTAAATTACAAGATAAGAAAGGTACGTCAATAATTATTACTTGAATTAATTTCGACTAAGTGTGTTTCTTCATTTTTATGTTTTCAGATGTAAATGTCAAAAACACACACAGAAGACATACCTAACAGAAAGCAATGGGATACGTCAGTGTAGACATTCAATCTCCTTTTGTGGTAATCATTGATGTGAATGCAGTTAATCATCAAAAATGACATTTCTGGTTCTGCAAGCATTGTCTACATGCCACTTTTATAGCAGAGCAGGTTCTTTAGTGGCACGATGGGGTCAAAGAAAAATATTTGCTTTAAAGCTTCAAGGGCGTGTAAAAACCCCTTTGACCAATCATACTTCATCATTGTCCAGATCAAATCAGAGACTATTTCATCACAGAATATGTGCAATAAAACCAAGAATGAGCTTGCATACTCCAAGATCTTTTTTTGTGCTGTTGACCACTGGTGGCAGTGCATTATATTTCAGCCGAAAGTATGCATCCAAGTGGAAATATAATGCATTGTGTGAGGAAATGAAGAGTGTCAACCAGCCATTCGAAAGATCCAAGAAACAACAGTTTGTACTGTGGACATGTATATATAATGTATACTTGGTCATCAGAATAATCATTCGTGCTTGTAGATTATTCTTCACATTTACACCTTTACTGCTTATTTATCCATTCACATTGATAAGCACGAAACTTAAAAGTCTGTGGTGGCAAATGTTACTTATAGCTGTTGAGTTTTCTGGACCTGCCTTTGTAAAACTTGGACAATGGGCCAGTACACGAAGAGATTTATTTTCCAAAGAGTTCTGTGATCGCTTTTCAAAGCTACATCGCCATGCCAAAACACATTCCTGGAAACACACTGCTACTTCCTTGGAAAGAGCATATGGACCACATTGGAGAAATATGATACTCTTTGACAACAAGGCTCAGCCAATAGGATCAGGATGTGTTGCACAGGTATGTAACTTTTATGTGATATTGAAAAAATCTTTCTTGATTTTTTTGTTTCATAGATAATGTCATTGAACTGTTGGATATATTGCAGTACCAATATGGGTAATTCAGAAAGATATTCAACATGTTAAATACACAGGTTTTTGCTTGAAACTGAAATGTGTGAATTATGCACAAATGTATAAAATGGACATAAATGTTTTTATTGTATCAGGGATGCACAATCCCAAAATGTGCCAAATTCTTGAGAAGACGAAATATAGGAACTGTAATACATTAAAGTAAATGTTACAGTAAGCTACACCATTTCATTATTTATAGCACCCTCATAGTTAGTGTAAACACCCTTGAAATTATTTATTGGGAGTACCATGGACCCGATGGTATGATCAATAAATCACTTATTAGTAGGCAATATACATTTTTAGTAGGCAAAATGACAGGCATCAATTACATAATGATCATCGGTCATATTGATAGCAGAAAATTGCTTCACAATTGAAGTTCATTTCATTTCTTTTCACTTTTGTTTACCTAGCTGTCAATGTTATCACTTAAAATATGATCAAAATATATTTTTAGAAGTATTATCTTTCAATTCAGAATTGTACTTTCCTTTGTACATGTTGAATTACTTAATGTGGTACCATTAAATGAATTACAGGTATACAAAGCCTTCATACGAGGAGACAAACTGCGTGCTCTTGACCTGGAGAAAATACAAGAAGATATTCATGAACAAGATGTGGTTGATGACATTCTGTCTGAACAAAGGACTTTTGCAGTTGGTAAAATACCCATGAGAAGTATTCTATATAAAAAATAATTAATGAACCAAGTTATGGTGTTGCTGTACATATCTTCCTTGATATTTCATATTCTTCATGTTAATAGGAAGTGATAAGCCAAACAGAGCTTCCTTTGTAAATATGTCATGATACACTAGCAAAGTTAAGATTACAAAAAGATGTCAGGTATGACTTTAGGCTAATTAACAAGGAATTAAAACATATATCCATTAAAACGCAATTTTGTCCATCATGTGTTAAAATTGAAGTATTTCTTTATGCTAATTTGTTTTTGGTAACAAGAAAACACACTGCTCTAATCTAAGAAGACAAAAGAAAATATTCAGGATATCCCAAACAAGCTGTGTCGATGATGTTTATGCATGCAAATACAAGTACTGTGTTGATTTTTGTTTTTGTTAAAAGTAAGAAGAGCAGAATGATGACATTTTCTTGTAAAGATTTACATTTGGAGAAAACATTATGAGATTCATGCACCTCTAAAACATCATGTAACATCTTAATCATGTGTTAAGTCAAACATACAGTTGAGTTAGGATATTTCAGTTAATGTGGCAACCCTGTATTTGTGTTTTTAAATGATTTTGATTTGCTTGTTGCTCTGCAGGTGTTGAGATTGAACATCTTACTCAAGCCTTTAGGAAACAGATAAAAAGAAATGCATCAGGTATGAATAGTTCCAGTGTAGGTATATTTGCACCATGTAGTATTCATAAACGATGTGACAAATGAGATGCACATGAAAATATGGTTGGATTATGTATGAACAAATTATCAAATAAATAGAGAACATCCCTTTCATCATCATTTGGTCCTTGAGAACAACATAATTAGGTGAGGCTGAGTTTTTTGTAGTCAGGTGGGCGTGGATGACAATCGAATGATTAATTTATTTTGGCCTTACTTTACATTATAAGAATAGGAATCAAATGACGGAATAACATTTGTCTCTAAAATTCAGGACATTGAAAATTGTCAAAGCCAGTGCTTTATGGGAAAGTTAATGTAATTCAAAATTCCATATAAAAAACTGGCCAGATCAGTTGAAATATTTCTCTTCCTTGTGTTCCCTGTTTCAACATGACAGAGTTTTCTTGTATGTTTAGACGCTTTAATAATTCATATTAACTTTTTGCAGTATTTGGCAAGATGGCCATAAGAATCAAATTAAGTTGTTCTGTCTGTTTAGGCATGAAATAATCAAACACAAGATCTCACCAGATGGGTTCGAATCTTTTCGGATGTGTTTTGAGTTCAGAGTAACGTTTTTCAAGTGATTTATGTGTTTTAAATGTGTTTTGGCATTTCCGTAGAGATGAATTGGTCTTGCACACGATGTATGATTGTGTTTTGATTAAAAATCTTTACGAGGGGTTTACTGAATTTTCAGATGAACATTCAGAGTTGTACATAGAACCAGGAGTGTTGGCTGATGATTTCAGTGATGATTGTCTACTTCCTGTTGCAATAAAGGTAACGGAACAGTGATGAACGTTCCTAATGATTTCTTGTAAACTGAATATGCAGTATGCAAATCAGATGCTCCAGTCATCTAAGTGGACATAATTTATTGTTTCCCCGTGTTTCTCTTCTCTGGTATATAGAAGATATGGACAGGTAAAATATGACTGGGATGAGTAAATTTGATTGTTGACAGGCCCTGTGTGTAGCAGAATGTCCTGTAACAGATCTGATTTTAATGAAACTGACCCCTTTCTGACAGAGGCTCTGGCTATCATGTGATGTTGTACCTCATAGAGTCAACCACATTGTAACTGTTGTATTATTGCCAGCAGCATAATACATTCGCTCAGAGAACATTTTTGGTGAGGCACCGCATTTTTGTGTTCCACCAAAGTTGTAAATGCCTGAGACTTCAGCAACTCAAGCATGCAAGAGGCAACTAATGGGATCGGGTGGTCAGGCTCGCTGACTTGGTTGACTCAATTCCCAATGGCATAGATCAATGCTCATGATGTTGATCACTGGATTGTCTGGTCCAGACTTGATTATGTTCAGTTTTCTGCCACAGGGGTGGAAATAACCCATTGCCCGACATCCCAGTCCAGTGGTTTTTTCTGTCGGGCCAGCAAGTTTGCATATCATGCTGTGCCGGTGTCCAGTTGACTTTCCAATGTTAATTATGTTGTTTATTTAAAAAATCAATAAGAAAATCGGCCTTTATAGTGGAAAAAATATCAGGGCAAGTGAATTTACATGTGCCACTGTACCGAAGTTCACTAGCAATTTTAAAGTTATTTCCACCCCTGTGCCATATAGTTGGAATATTGCTTAGTGTGGCATTAAACAACAAGCCAACAAACTGAGACTTGGGCTTATCTCCGACAGTAAATTGACACTCCTTGATTTAAGTGGAATATCATTAAAATCAGCATTAAACCCAACTCACTGACTCATTCTCTTTGTGCAGGTATTACATCCTGATGTACATGTTGTATATGGCCGTGACCTTGCACTGATGAAGGTCATGGCAAGCTGCATGGAGTTTGTGTTTCCTAGTTTGCGCTGGATCAGCCTGACTGAGTGTGTTGCAGAGTTTGCACAGTCCATGAAAAAACAGGTAATATTCTGATGGAACTGTCAGAAGTAGTGAAGAGCAACACTTGTAATTCATTGAAGAGGAACACTTTTTATGGATAGACATCTTCTTTACTGCAATAGATGTGTCGTTTCAGTAGCACTGTTATCACTGGTGTAGTGGTTAGAGCGTCTGCCCGGAGAGCGGAAGGTCGCGGGTTCGATCCCCGACCGCATCATACCAAAAGACGTTAAAATATGGTACTTGTTGGTCTCTGCCTGGCGCTCTGCATTAATTGGTACAACAAGGACTGGTCGGCTCGGAGTCAGTATAATGTGTCTGAGTGGGGTATTCATGCTTCACTGTGGCATGGTATCTCAGTGGGCTAGCACTATAAAACCAGCTTCAGTCTGGGCTAGTACAAGCAGCCGCACATACACATACACACGCATGCATGTCGTCATATGAGCGAAATATTCTCAAGCACGAAGTAAAACCCAGTTTCACCTCACCTCACCTATATGCCACCTAAAGAAGTCGTGTTCATACAGGTACATGATTACATATCTATTGTCATCACAAGCTGTGGCAAAATGTTTTTAAAAAACAGCTTAATATATTGAGAGAAACAAATGAAGGATCACATGAAAAGTCAAGTGTTCCTTTAATATTTTCCAGTTTTCATCACCAGGTTTGAATAGCGCAATAGTGATGAAAACTGGAAAACAATAAAGGAACGCCTGAATTTTCCTGTGATCCTTTATTTGTTTCTCTCAGTATATTATATCTGTCTGTGGCCTACGCCAATTGTCTTGATCCAAATAAAAAATAATGAAACCATGCATATTCCACACCCATGCTGGGATGCACTCGCGCACCCACTTAGGATCTCAGGATCTTTACTCATACACTCAAGCTCTTACACATGCACACACTCCCAGTATCTTCATATGAATCCTGACCGCCTCCGTGGAGTAGTGGTTAGAGCGTCCGCCCGGAGAGCGGAAGGTCGCGGGTCCGATCCCCGACCGCGTCATACCAAAAAGACGTTAAAATATGGTACTTGTTGGTCCCTGCCTGGCCCTCGGCATTAATGGGTACAACAAGGACTGGTCGGCTCGGAGTCAGTATAATGTGTCTGAGTGGGGTATTCATGCTTCACTGTGGCATGGTATCTCAGTGGGCTAGCACTATAAAACCAGCTTAAGTCTGGGGTAGTACAAGCAGCTAGTACATACACATACACATGCATGCACGTCGTCATATGAGCGAAATATTCTCAAGCACGACGTTAAACCCAATTTCACCTCACCTCACCTCATATGAATCCTTTCACTATAGTTAACTTGTTGTCCTCTGTTGTCAGATGAACATGCGTCACGAGGCCCGCTGTCTGGACAGACTTGCCCAGGATTTTCTCCACCAGGAACATATCCGTGTCCCCTGTCCTCTCTGGCCCCTGGTCACAAAAAACATCCTGGTAGAAACATTTGAGGTAATGACTTCCTGTTAATGTAATACTGGAATGTTGGCTGGACATTAAGAAGTGTGTCCTTCAGAAAATGCCAGGAGTACCATGTATGTATGTCAACTCCTGTAAATGTTGGCTTTGACTAACTGGCTAAGTAGGAACATTTCTTCCCATGTGCTATTCAGTTAAAACTGGATTTATGCATAAGAAATATCTCTACTTGTCAGGGGGTGGTTGAGTAGCCTAGTGGTTGAAGTGTTCGCTCGTCACGCCGAAGACCCAGGTTCAATTCCACGCATGCGTACAATGTGTGAAGTCCATTTCTGGTGTCCCCTGCCGTGGTATTGCTGGAATATTGCTTAAAGCAGCATAAACCTAAACTCACTCACTTTTCTTGTCAGCAGAACAGTTTTTGGAACTGATAGTAGATAAGTTCAGAAGATCTGGTCCTCTGAGACCATTAGGTTTTCTCTATAGACACACCAGTCTTAGGTTAGATGGAGAACATCATTTTGGATAAGATATTGCTAGGACATTGCTGACTGCTGTATTTTCAATCCAGGAACAGTTCATATCTGTTCAGGCTTTTATGAGGGTGAGCTGATCTCAGATTCTCTACACAAACAGTTCATATCTATTTTGGCTTTCAGGAAAGTGAGCACAATCTCAAACTTCCTCTGTGAGCCATTGTTGACTGCTGTGTAAAACTACATAAACAGTTCATATCTATTCTGGCTTTCAGGAGGGTTCCTCTGTGAGCCATTGATCTCAGACTATCCTCTGTGAGCAGGACACCAAGTGAGCAGGACACCAAGATAGGAGGACTGAGGAAACGGCTAGCGCAGCTTGGTGTGGATGCTCTTCTACAGATGGTAGACCAGTTCAAAAGTTTAATGTCAGATAAAAAATCTGGGATTTTATGCTTATTTTACTGCTTAAAACATTGAGAAATAAGATAATTTGATTTTGACAAATGAATAACCTGCAGAGCCATTAACCTCACCTATAATCTTAAGGAATTAATTCTCTTTCGCAGACTCTATGTTTTGCATGAGATTGGTATTCATACTGTCAACTTTTCAATACTCATTTGTCATTTCTTGTCTATATATTCCTGTGTATAGTTCAGCCTTCTCTGAGATTGCCAACAGTACTTTATTCATTTCAAGATTGTGTAATAAAATTATAATGATAAATCAAGTTGGTTTGCTATCATCACAATGGTTAAGAAGTTTCACAAGACAATACAGTAAGCTATGATTGCAATACAATCGCAACAGTAAAACAGTCCAAATACTCACCCTTTAACTCTGCACAAGGAAGTGATTCTGCTCTCCCTCATGTATTTCAAGTGTTCTCTAAAATATAAGTTACTGAAACCTTGTACATCCGTCCTCTGAAAGATATGAAACATGTGTTTCGTCATTGCAGGTGTTCGTTAACAACTTTGTCCATGGAGACTTACACCCAGGCAATATACTGGTGCAGAATGCTAAAGATTTCAAACAGGTATTGAAGCATATATATTTCTTATGAAGGACCCTGCTTTCTGCTGCAGTTTTTAAATATATATCCCACCTGAAGAGGAACACTTTTTTGTGGATAAACAACTTTTTTATTGCAGTAAATGCGACGCTGTCTATCTATAAAAAAGTGTTCCTCTTCATCATACCAGCTTCTAAATGCCACTTAATTTCAGTTTAGATATTTATTTGACCATAATGCTTTGACCATACTGAAAACTGAAATACTTTATGAGTATTTTTTTGTGGGACTGATGTGTTTCTGTGCAGAAATTATGTAAAAAAAACTTTCACCATGCCCTTAAATTCTTTCAGATTGCTTCTTGTCCTGTAAACTGCTTCTCTTATTGTCCGTCCCGATTCTTGTTAACGCGATATCTCATGAACTGTTGTACCCAATGTCTTCAAATTTGGTGACAGCCTACATTGGGGGATTGCGCAGACACCAGTCGATTTTGGTGACCTTGACCATATTTTCAAGGTCACTATGACACATTGACCACTATTCAAACTCTTGTTAAGGCGATATCTCATGAACTAATGTACCCAATGTCTTCAAATTTGGTAACAGCCTACATTGGGGAATTACCCAGACACCAGTCGATTTAGGTGACCTTGACCTTATCTTCAAGGTCACCACGACACTTTGCACACATTTAACTCTTGTTAACGCGATATCTCCTGGACTGTTGTACCCAATGTCTTCAAATTTGGTGACAGTCTACATTGGGGTATTACACAGACACCAGTTTATTTAGGTGACCTTGACCTTATCTTCAAGGTCACGACGACACTTTGACCACTTTTTAAACGCGATATCTCGTAAAACATTGCACCCAATGTTTTCAAGTATGTTGACAGCCTACTTTGGGTGATTATGCAGACACCAGTCATTTCAGGCATCTTGTATGTGACCCAAAAATAAAAAGTAGTAAATATAGGTACAGTTGAACATGGATATAGCGAACACGGATATAGCGTACAAACAGATATAGCGAACAAATTTAAAAGTCCCGTCAATAGTCCTTTATAATATCATTAAAATTATACGCAAATAACGAACTCGTGAGTAGCGAATTAACAGCTATAGCGAATTGATTTACTACCCCCAAGACCCAATTAACGACGTGATTAGCGTACTAACTCAGTGTCAGCTCAGTGTCAGCTCAGCCACTTAGCTCAGCCACTTAGCTGTATACATCAACCTTGTTGGCGGCGAATCAACATTGTTTGATGGTCATTAATTAATTAACAAAACAAACATGTCGTGTTTAAAAGCTTGACTGGTATAAGAAGCAGAAGAAATCCCGGCAAAATTGTGGACTTTGTTAAACGTAATTAAGTTATATACATGTATTGTTGAGATTGTTGTGATTGTTAAACATGTTCTAGCTAATGTCTGTGAATGATAAATTCAGAATTTTAATGTTATGTCAATGTACATGTACAAGAATAAAGATTTGTAGCCTCAGCATATACATGTCTCTACATCTCTACAATCCAAGATGGCGGTCAAATGTGAATAACGAACAACGGATATAGCGAACTAAATTTCTTGGTCCCTTGGAGTTCGTTATATCCGTGTTCTACTGTATTCCATTCTTTAGCGGCGGGGGACATTGCCATATCAGTGGCAAGCACTTGTTATATATAAGATGGAGAAAACTGGGATTGGAATGTGTATCTCTCCTTCTGATGATGTCATGTCTTGGTCAAATCTGTAGACAGTGTTGCTACTTTTTTCTCAGTATTTTGGCAGAAAATGTCAGCGAAATTAACTGTAACATATCCAGATGACCTACTGCTTTCTTTTAATAAAAGGCAAAGAGGAACTGAAAGTAACAGTTTAGACATCAAATATATAGAATGTTGTCATGTGTGTGACACTGCCATGACTTGTGTGTTTTGTGTGACTGTTATAACGTATTTATTATGAATGTTTTCAGTGTGTTTAGCTTGTGTGTTTTGAATGTGCGTGGCATTGTCATAACTTGTCTGTTACAAACATGTCTGTCATTGTCCTGATAAATGTGTTTTGAATGTGTGTGAATGTGTTATGACTTTGTGTGTCTTGTACCAGGAGGACAATCAGCTTGTGATTGTGAACGTGTGTGAAAATGTCGTGACTTGTGTGTTTTGTAGCAGGAAGACAATCAGCTTGTGGTTGTGAACGTATGTGACACTGTCGTGACTTGTGTGTTTTGTAGCAGGAGGACAATCAGCTTGTGGTTGTGAACGTGTGTGACACTGTCGTGACTTGTGTGTTTTGTAGCAGGAAGACAATCAGCTTGTGGTTGTGAACGTGTGTGACACTGTCGTGACTTGTGTGTTTTGTAGCAGGAAGACAATCAGCTTGTGATTGTGAACGTGTGTGACACTGTCGTGACTTGTGTGTTTTGTAGCAGGAAGACAATCAGCTCTGTGGTTGTGAACGCGGTGACACTCGTCGACTTGTGTGTTTTCGGTAGCAGGAAGACAATCAGCTTGTGGTTGTGAACGTGTGTGACACTGTCGCGGACTTGTGTGTTTTGTAGCAGGAAGACAATCAGCTTGTGGTTGTGAACGTGTGACACTGTCGTCGACTTGTGTGTTTTGTAGCAGGAAGACAATCAGCTTGTGGTTGTGAACGCGTGCGACACTGTCGCGGACTTGGTGTGTTTTGTGGAAAGCAGGGAAGACAATCAGCTTGTGGTTGTGAACGGTGTGACACTGTCGTGACTTGTGTGTTTTTGTAGCAGGAAGACAATCAGCTTGTGGTTGTGAACGTGTGGCACTGTCGACTTGTGTGTTTTGTAGCAGGAAGACAATCAGCTTGTGGTTGTGAACGCAGTGTGACACTGCCATGACTTGTGTGTGTTTTGTACCAGGAGGACAATCAGCTTCGTGATTGTGAACGTGGTGTGACACTGTCGTCGGACTTGTGTGTCTTTGTAGCAGGAAGACAATCAGCTTGTGGTTGTGAACGGTGTGACACTGCCATGACTTGTGTGTCCTTGTACCAGGAGGACAATCAGCTTGTGGATTGTGAACGTGTGTGACACTGCCATGACTTGTGTGTTTTGTAGCAGGAAGACAATCAGCTTGTGGTTGTGAACGTGCGTGACACTGTCATGACTTGTGTGTTTTGTAGCAGGAAGACAATCAGCTTCTTGTGGTTGTGAACGGTGTGGCACCGTCGTGCGGACTTGTGTGTTTTTGTAACAGGGAAGACAATCAGCTTGTGGTTGTGAACGTGGTGTGACACTGTCGGACTTGTGTGTTTTGTAGCAGGAAGACAATCAGCTTGTGGTTGTGAACGCAAAAGTGACACTGTTGTGACTTGTGTGTTTTGTAGCAGGAAGACAACTCAGCTATGGTTGTGAACGGTGTGACACTGTTCGAATCTGTGTGTTTTGTAGCAGGAAGACAATCAGCTTGTGGTTGTGAACGTGTGTGACACCGTCGTGACTTGTGTGTTTTGTAGCAGGAAGACAATCAGCTTCTGTGGTTGTGAACGCGGTGTAAATAATGTCGGTCGGACTTGTGTGTTTTGTAGCAGGAAGACAATCAGCTTGTGGTTGTGAACGTAGTGACACTGTCGCGGACTTGCGTGTTTTGTATAAGGAACACAATCAGCTTCTGGTGATTGTGAACGGTGTGACACTGTCGCGGACTGTGTGTGTTTTGGTAGCAGGAAGACAAATCAGCTTGTGGTTGTGAACGCGTGACACCGTCGTGACTTGGTGTGTTTTGTAGTATGGGAAGACAACTCAGCTTGTGGTTGTGAACGCAGGTGACACTCCTCGCCATGACTTGTGTGTCTTGTACCAGGAGTGACAATCAGCTTGTGATTGTGAACGTGCGTGCGACACCGTCATGACTTGTGTGTTTTGCAGCAGGAAGACAATCAGCTTGTGGTTGTGAACGCAAAAGTGACACCGCCAAGACTTGTGTGTTTTGTAGCAGGAAGACAATCAGCTTGTGGTTGTGAACGCGGTGGCAATCCGTCGTGGACTTGTGTAGTTTTGTAGCAGGAGGACAATCAGCTTGTGATTGTGAACGCAGTGTGACACTGCCATGACTTGTGTGTTTTGGTAGCAGGAAGACAATCAGCTTGTGGTTGTGAACGTGTGTGACACTGCCATGACTTGTGTGTTTTGTAGCAGGGAAAGACAATCAGCTTGTGGTTGTGAACGTGTGGTACCTGTCGCGTGACTTGTGTGTTTTGTAGCAGGAAGACAATCAGCTTGTGGTTGTGAACGCAGTGACACTGTCGACTTGTGTGTTTTGTAGCAGGAAGACAATCAGCTTGTGGTTGTGAACGTGTGCACACCGTCGCGTGACTTGTGTGTTTTGTAACAGGAAGACAATCAGCTTGTGGTTGTGAACGTGTGTGACACTGTCGACTTGTGTGTTTTGTAGCAGGAAGACAATCAGCTTGTGGTGGTTGTGAACGTGGTGTGACACTGTCGTGACTTGTGTGTTTTGTAGCAGGAAGACAATCAGCTTGTGGTTGTGAACGCGGTGTGACACTGTCGCGGACTTGTGTGTTTTGTAGCAGGAAGACAATCAGCTTGTGGTTGTGAACGGTGTGACACTGTCGCGACTTGTGTGTTTTGTACCAGGAAGACAATCAGCTTGTGGTTGTGAACGGTGTGACACTGTCGCGGACTTGTGTGTTTTGGTAACAGGAAGACAATCAGCTTGTGATTGTGAACGTGTGTGACACTGTCGGACTTGTGTGTTTTGTAGCAGGAAGACAATCAGCTTGTGGTTGTGAACGCGGTGTGACACCGTCGCGACTTGACTTTTTGTGTTTTTGTGGTTGTGAACGTGCGTGACACCGTCGCGGACTTTGTGTAAGTTTTGTAGACAATCAGCTTGTGATTGTGAACGCGTGTGACACTGTCGCTTACTTGTGTGTTTTGTAGCAGGAAGACCGATCAGCTTGTGGTTGTGAACGTGTGTGACACTGTCGCGACTTATGTGTGTTTGTAGCAGGAAGACAATCAGCTTGTGGTTGTGAACGTGTGTGACACTGTCGCGGACTTGTGTGTTTTGTAGCAGGAAGACAATCAGCTTGTGATTGTGAACGTGTGTGACACTGCCATGACTTGACTGTGTTTTTGTAGCAGGAAGACAGTCAGCTTGTGGTTGTGAACGTGTGACACTGTCGCGACTTGTGTGTTTTGTAGCAGGAAGACAATCAGCTTGTGGTTGTGAACGTGCAGTGACACTGTCGACTGACTTGTGTGTTTTGAAGCAGGAAGACAATCAGCTTGTGGTTGTGAACGTGTGTGACACTGTCCCTGCGGACTCTGTGTGTTTTGTGTGCAGGAAGACAATCAGCTTGTGGTTGTGAACGTGTGTGACACTGTCGTGACTTGTGTGTTTTGTAGCAGGAAGACAATCAGCTTGTGATTGTGAACGTGTGTGACACTGTCGTGACTTGTGTGTTTTGTAGCAGGAAGACAATCAGCTTGTGATTGTGAACGTGTGTGACACTGCCATGACTTGTGTGTTTTGTAGCAGGAAGACAATCAGCTTGTGGTTGTGAACGTGTGTGACACTGCCATGACTTGTGTGTTTTGTAGCAGGAAGACAATCAGCTTGTGGTTGTGAACGTGTGACACTGTCGTGACTTGTGTGTTTTGTAGCAGGAAGACAATCAGCTTGTGATTGTGAACGTGTGACACTGTCGCGGACTTGTGTGTTTTGTAGCAGGAAGACAATCAGCTTGTGATTGTGAACGTGTAGTGTGACACTGTCGTGACTTGTGTGTTTTGTAGCAGGAGAAGACAATCAGCTTGTGATTGTGAACGTGGTGACACTGCCATGACTTGTGTGTTTGTAGCAGGAAGACAATCAGCTTGTGATTGTGAACGCGGTGTGACACTGCCATGACTTGTGTTTGTAGCAGGAAGACAATCAGCTTGTGGTTGTGAACGTGTGTGACACTGTCCATGACTTGTGTGTTTTGTAGCAGGAAGACAATCAGCTTGTGGTTGTGAACGTGTGTGACACTGTCATGACTTGTGTGTTTTGTAGCAGGAAGACAATCAGCTTGTGGTTGTGAACGTGTGTGACACTGTCGTGACTTGTGTGTTTTGTAGCAGGAAGACAATCAGCTTGTGATTGTGAACGTGTGTGACACTGTCGTGACTTGTGTGTTTTGTAGCAGGAAGACAATCAGCTTGTGGTTGTGAACGTGGGTGACACTGTCGTGACTTGTGTGTTTTGTAGCAGGAGGACAATCAGCTTGTGGTTGTGAACGTGTGTGACACTGTCGTGACTTGTGTGTTTTGTAGCAGGAAGACAATCAGCTTGTGGTTGTGAACGTGTGTGACACTGTCGTGACTTGTGTGTTTTGTAGCAGGAAGACAATCAGCTTGTGGTTGTGAACGTGGGTGACACTGTCGTGACTTGTGTGTTTTGTAGCAGGAAGACAATCAGCTTGTGGATTGTGAACGTGTGTGACACTGTCGTGACTTGTGTGTTTTGTAGCAGGAAGACAATCAGCTTGTGGTTGTGAACGTGTGTGACACTGTCGTGACTTGTGTGTTTTGTAGCAGGAAGACAATCAGCTTGTGGTTGTGAACGTGTGGTGACACTGTCGTGACTTGTGTGTTTTGTAGCAGGAAGACAATCAGCTTGTGGTTGTGAACGTGGGTGACACTGTTGTCACGGGACTGGTGCAGACTGATTGCCCAGTGAAGCTGGTGTTCCTTGACTGTGGGATCACCACTTCCCTCAGCAAAGACGACAGACTGAAGTTCCGGGAGGTCTTCACAGCAGTCGTGAAAGGGGAGGTAACTTGACTTCATTTCTGAGACAAGCTTGACATTTTATGAGTGTTTCACTCTACTGCCACTAACAGACATCAGAAATATACTAGTTGAAAAAGGTTAATACTTTTAATGCCATGTTAAATTGATTATTTCTTTAAGGTGATATGTTTTAAATGTCTAGGTGCAGTTGGATAAAAAAAAAGAACTTGCAGAGGCCCAGATAAGCTGCGATCCGGGTAAAATAGGCATATAAAATTTCCAATTACGCATTGAAAAATAATTGTTGCATACCAATTACGCATTTAAAATGTTAGATACGCAAAAAGTTTAAAACAAATGCGTACGGAATATATTTATAAAAATCGCTTGCGTAATGAAAAAGACATCGATTGCTATCAAGTTGTACTGTTAGTATAGGACAAGTGTTGTACTGTCAGTATAGGATGAGTGATTTTTTATGAAATCATTTCCATTTTATTTAAGTTGGTTTTGATTAGGTATGACATAAGGCAGGACATACCTGCTTAGTAAACTTCCTCAGTCACATAATACTTAGGTGAGTAAAATGACTGAAATACGCACATATTTGAAAGCAGTGGGTAACGGAAAAGTGAAATACCCACTCAACATTCATAATACCCACTCCAAAAACATACAGTGGGTACAGTACCCACATGAGCTAAATCTTATCTGGAGCTCTGAACTTGTTTGAGTTACACAGGTCATCAATAATGTAGTCAACAGATTTGGCAAATGTCATCCTTGACAAGTTGAAGGATATTTTGCACTTGTTACACTAAATTAACTTGTTTGAGGGGCATCGCACCAATACACTAAAGTAACTTGACATGATGCAAGAGGAAATGGGAACAAGTTCTGTCTAGATGTATGAAAATATTCTGTTTTCTTTGTTTAATAGTCTGTGTGCTTGTTTACCACCATGACAAGTGTTTTTGCAGGTGGCTGAAGGAACATGCAATCTGATTGGCTCTTTGTAGAGAATTAGCCATTGGTTATCAGGTTTTCATATCAGTTACCTTAATTTGGTCTTGCATCTTTTACTGTCTAGCATCTAGCATTTTGATAGATTTACATTTTATTGTGATTTTAAAAATATACTTTTAATGTATTCCAACAAGCATCCTTCATGACTTCCTTAAAAGACTATTATGTATCTCTATTTGGTCTCAGCTAGTAGGGCAAAAATGTCATTCTACAAAATTAAATGAAACTTCATTTTCATCACAAACTTTGTTTCATGAAGCCCCGACAGAATGTATTACAGGAAGGATGCTGGGTTGAAATGGTTTACTTGAACATTGCAGTTTGGTGACTCATTTCTAAAGTTTCCTTGAAGTACAGTTTGTAGGAAGTTATCCGTGTTCATGACAGAATTCATTCAGGCAGGATTGATGACTGATGTAGTATATGATATACTTGTTGTATCATAGTTCCAATATCAACATTTAAATGCTGGTCTATAGTGATGGATAGTGGCCTGACCTTCGTATTGCAATGTATTGCAGTAGTGATTCATGTATCAGCATGTGTATCACAATATATTTATTATGTTCTTTAGGGGTAGCCTAGTGGTTAAAGCAGTCACTCATCAAGCTAAAGACCTGGGTTCAAGTCCCCACATGGGTGTAATGTGTGAAGCCCATTTCTGGTGTCCCCTGCCATGATATCGTTGGAATATTGCTAAAAAACAGCATAAAACCAACTCACTCACTCGCTTATGTTCTTTAATGGTAAATACAGCTGTGTAATAGACAGAAAGTTGGTTGCAATTAGTTGGGGTTTTTTATCTCAGGATGTTGTTTCCGGTAATTTATTAATTTCATAATTTCAAATCATTTACATCAAATTTCCTTTTTATATGTAACCTTTATCGATTTTCTGAAAATTGATGTTATTCTGAAAATCTGCAATGTGCACGTATGTTCCAGATATAGCATTTAACATCCTGGTATTCTGGTATACCAGTGATCCCATAACATTTCGGCATTGTACGTTTTAGGTTACTCAAGTACTGTTAATGCTCTCATATTTACCCTGAATTGGTACCTCTCTGTCAGTTTGTAACAAACCCACCAATAGTTAACAAAGTATTGTTGGAAACAACAGTCATTCATTCACTGACTGACCCAATACTCATTCACTCATTTTGTAATTTTGGAAAGGGTCATAAAAATGACATACAATATCCGGGGTGGGAGTCATTGAAAAATAAGTCAAGCAATTGGGGAGGGTCATCATATTCAGGACATTAGTGCATATAATACCTCTGAACCAGATCCTCTGTAAGAAATGACGAGTTTTGGTGAATAAAGTATTTTTATCTCAAACCTGTCTCGATTGCGAGTGCTGAAATTTCTGTGTTATTCCAGGGAGAGGTGGTTGCTGATTTGTTCCTCAACAAGACAGCCCATGTGGAGTGCTCTGACCCAGAGGCCTTCAGACAGGACATGGCGGCGGTGGTGATGCAGGCTCGACAGGCGACTCTCTCCTTGTCCCAGGTGAGGAGACAGAAACATCACAGGGAGATAACTCTAACATGTAATGAATCATTCGTCACCACTCGCCCCTTTCCGTAACCTGCAAGAAGACTCGTCCCCATCTCGATGCTTGTTATGTGCGAAAATACGACAAACCAATCAGAACTCGCGTAAATGACTGCGGTGCTTTGGTAAAAATAATCCCGAGTACTTAAATCGTTTATGGCATTATGTCATTGTTTAAAAAAATCATGAAAAATATATATCGTCATGTTGAAAGTACAAAGAACTTAGCTAAAGGATTTTGCTGTCTAATGTGAAGTTTTAGATAAGAATCATGCATTGACGGTGAGAGATTCAAATACACGCACGCAAGCGCTTGTTGACATAACTAATTTCATGGGTCCAACTGAGGGTGTTTCTGACTCTATCTTGCAGGCTTGCTATGGAGATTATACGGCGCGCTCCAACAATTTTAGGAAATGTAATTATATATCGCCACGAAGTTTCAAAAACAACAATACTATTATATCTGTATGTCACTAATCAACTTTAATCTTTAACATTGGGCATATATTTCACCTCTCTGGGAATATTTTAGTCTGACCTTCTTGTGGTCATTCATATATTTTTCAGCGAATTCAGTTAAAATTCCACTTGTGGTATGACAGCAAGGTTACACGTGATGTCCAGTTTGAGAAATATTAAAAAAGTCATTATTTGAGTTTCTGCTTTTGGATTTAATGTTGCTGGTTTTTTTTTACAAATTTGATTTGCATATTCAATAAAACAAATCCCATTTGTGATTATTGAACCCTCTTCAGAAATTTAACTGGAAATATAAGGCGAATATCTGGTAATAATTACGTCAGACTATGTCTTTAACAAATATGTTTTTTTCTTTCTTTTAGTTGTACCAAGGAGGCTTAATTCTTTAGAATAAATAGCAAAACCAAAAACAGCAATACAATGTATGAGTACTTCGGTGATATTAAGTACAATTGGAATCAAACAGGAATAGAGTTATCGTTCCTGTTTGAAGTAGTTCTGATGTTCCTACGCCAATATGAAATCCTTCCAGAGGGGCACGAGTCGCTATTCGGCTTGTCCCGGAATAACACGAGTTGGTCACGAATGGCAATGAATTTATACTGCAGACAGTAATATACCAGCTAATTCATGCAGATTGTAAATATTTTGTTATGGATCTGATTGTAAAGCAGTGGTAGCATAATCAGCATCCCATCCCATCAGGAACTGGAATGCTGAAAGACTAAACATCAAATTTGCATGCCCTTCTGTTCAATATTTGTGAAATCCTATGGGAATAGGAGGCAATATCTTGCCCAGGGTGAACAATCACCATCTTGTGGTCAGTATATGTGGAATTCAGTGGGAGTAGGAGGGAAGATCTGGTTGGGCAAAACCATCCTGCTTTCATGTTCAGGATATGTGAAATCCAGAACATACCAATTTTATACCAGCACCTTGAGCATGCACCAGTTGCATGGATATGTGCGCTATATAAATATACTGTAATAATAATAAATAATAAAAATGATATTTTCTCTCCAAACATGCTCAAACATTATGTTAGTCTATGATGAAACTTACTATGTGTAAATTCAGTTCCGTGATACAAGAAGCAAGAAATTGGTAAATGGAACATTTACCTTAAATAATCAGGTCAGGACTAGGTCAACCACTGTCATCATTTAGGTCAGCACAGGCAAAAAGCATGGAGTTCACCACAGTACAAGGAACCTATTTGGCCCTAATAATTCACTTTAACTTCATGTTCTTCAACCTTTGTCTTCTAATTGTTTGTTTTGAGACCCGTGAACAGCAACCCATGCTTTTCATAGAGATTTCCTAGATTGATGCTCATGCTGTTGATCACTTGATTGCCTGGTCCAGACTCGATTATTTACAGACTGCCGCCATATAGCTGGAATATTGCTGAGTGCAGCGTTAAACAACAAACAAAAAACATTGTTTTGAATATGTAAAACATTGTGGAAATACCACCGATTCAGAACTTGTTGATTTTCCAGATACATGTTGCGGAGTTGTTGTCCGAAGTGTTCCGGATTCTGAGGATTCATCGTATGAAGCTGGAGAGCAACTTTGCCAATGTGATTCTTGCGATAGCCGTGTTGGAGGGACTTGGGAGGTCACTCGATCCTCACCTGGACATCCTGGAGAAGGCCAGGCCCATTCTGATACACCACTCACTGTTTTGAGATGTCACACACTGCTTTCAGTGTAAGAGCACCTGGCATTCCGTGAACTTAGAAGATGTTTCTGTGTGCCCAGCATATCTGAGTCCCTTTGCCCTAACATTGCTCTTGTTCAGTCTCTTTATTATACAAGCTATTATCATAATATCATAAAATGATTGGATTTGAACTGAATTAATTTTAATTTGACAGAATGATATTATTATGATGATTATATATATAATCATGGCTCTTGGTGAGTGTCACTGTGTGTCTTCTTCTTACAAGCTGACACACCATAAAATAGTTGACATCCTGCTGAAAAGTTTTAATTTTAATTTAACATAATGGTATTATTATGATGATTATTTTTTTAACTTTTTACTTTTGATATTTTTAAGGAGTCTGTGACTTTCTAAACTAGGTTTGTTTTTCAAAGATTATTGACTAGTGGTGTAGATATTGTGATCACATGGAGAGAGGTTGTGAGGTGTTGTATCTTGCAGGTGTTGGACAGTTCCCCACACAGACAATTCCCCATCACCTGAGTGACAGTCCCCCATCACCTGAGTGACAATCCCCCATCACCTGAGTGACAATTCCCCATCACCTGAGTGACAATCCCCCATCACCTGAGTGACAATCCCCCATCACCTGAGTGACAATACCCCATCACCTGAGTGACAATTCCCCATCACCTGAGTGACAATCCCCCATCACCTGAGTGACAATTCCCCATCACCTGAGTGACAATTCCCCATCACCTGAGTGACAGTTCCCCACAAAATCCCATCAAAATCCCAATAGCAAATCAAAACATGCTGGAAGTATATAAGTAAAAGTGTAAAATGTGACATTGTAGATTTCAAGATGGAATTCATTAAGAACAACCGTGGCGGGTTGAAAGTTTGTTATGAAGGTTACATGTATATACACTACACTAGAACAAACACAGTAAGGTAGGTGTGTTCATGCAGATTGTCTTTATCTTGCAAAGGTGTCAGATACTGTGCCTCTATGTATTTATTAAAGGTCACATGCAACCAAAAAATCAAACATAATTAAAACACAATTATCACTTATTCATGACATATAATATGCATTGCTGATTATGAAAAAACAAATAAACAAATTTATAAGCGTACAATCGCTATTCAAAAGTGCAATATTTTGTACTTGGGTTTACCTCCCTCGAAACGAAGCAGACGGGATACCGAACCCAGTCAGAGTGGGTGGGCGTGCACTCAACAAAGACTTTCCATTGGCTGGTTCATTTGCCGATACGCTCAGCTGTGTGTATATAGAGATGTTTGGTTTTGTAAATACATGCTCATTTTGTGAAATATATAATAAAAGTGTCTGATACTGACAATTAAACTGGACATACTGATACTGATTATTGTTAAGGAATGTGAAAGAATGAATAAATATATAATTAAAAAGTCAATATCACTTTTGTTGTTAATAGTGCTTTTTAATGTGTGGGGAATTGTCTGTGTGGGGAAATGTCTGTGTGGGAAATTGTCTGGAGCCCATATCTTGCATATTGAATCTGTAATATATAGTATATCAGTATATAATGAAATGATAAATAAAAAAGTGTTCTTTTAGCGATAAGCTTCATGTCTTTTAGCAGGTGTTTAACTTGTTATACTACAATTTTGTGAGTATGCCTGAACTATACCTTCAACATACATGTATTTTTATTTTTTTCATTAAAATCATATCTTTTATTCCAATCTCTTCCTCTCCATGAAGGTGTTGACACCTGCATAGAAGGTTGCGAGAGGTTAACCCTGAGTGAGAACTGACCAGCAAGCCTGAATGAAAAATGTAAGGGTTAATGAGCAAGTCAGATGTCAGCTTTCTGAAACAGTATGGCTTCATTTCATTCATACACCCGTGGGGGTGGTAGGGTAGCTGAGTGGTTAAAGCATTTGCTTGTCATGTCGACAGCCCGGGTTTGATTCCTTACATGGGTACAATGTGTGAAGCCTATTTCTGGTCTCCCCTGCCATGATATTGCTGGAATATTGCTAAAAGCTGTGTAAAATACAACTCACTCACTGACTCACTCACACTGACTGACTGGACTGACTGACTGACTGACTGGCTGATTAGAAAGTTTGGCTGATGCAACATCATGTGGAGGTGTTGTGAGACCTTCATGCAGGAATGTGTTGTATAGATTTAATTGAGAGAGGTTGATTTGATTCAGTGTATGAAATAAGGCCCATCCGACCATCTAGACGGTCTAGATTTTTGATGGACGGTCTAAATTTACAGCTAGCCAGCCCGATGGTCTGGTAAAATTTTTAGATGTTCCATACATCTGAACTTCCTCATATTTGGTCTGGTTAAATCCATTTTAGGCTGGTAACATTTTGAAGTTACCAGCCCTGATGTCTGGATGGATTTTTGGCTTATTTCATATACTATTTGATTCTTGCATTTCAATTGTTACCTTGGTTACTATGACCACCAGGACCATGCTAACCATTAATGCAATATTAGACTTGATCTACCTGAAAACACTGCTTTTACAGAATTTCATATTTTTCAATATTTGTCATTGTTATTTGTTATCTTTGAAATACTACAATAAAAAGAAATGTGTTATATCAAGCATGGTAAATTATAAAATAGTCATGTGTTGTATGTTTCTTGTATTTTGTACCCGTGGAAATCCGGGTTAGAATTGATCTTCACTAACCCATGCTTGTCGTTAAAGCCGACAACAGGATCCGGTTGTCAGGCTCGCTGTCTTGCTTGACACTTGTCATTGGTTCTCAATTATAGATTGATGCTTATGCTGTTGATCACTGGACTGTCTGGTCCATACTCGATTATTTACAGATCGCCGCCATATAGCTGGAATGTTGCTGAGTTCGGCGTAAAACTAAACTCACTCACTCAGGATGATGTGTGACCACCAATGGCAGACACAAAAGTTGAAATGGTGAAGAATAATCTGGAAACAATTTTTCGTAGTCATTGCCGCACTGTCTGAAAATAAACCTATCTAGTTGTAAGAAAAAATACCACATGCATGCAGACGACTTGGAAAAAACTGCCGCCAGATGTTTCACAGCCATGTTTCTCACTCTTCTTACAGACGCCTTTGTGGAATGACAGCATTTGAAAGCCGACAGTATCTGACAGCATCTGAAGGGTGCTATGGCTTTAAATGTGTCCAGATAATGGGTCTGCTTTATTCAGTGGTCTTTACATTGCATGCTGTGTCTCAACCTAAACAAAATATCTTTACCTATTAGCTTTACATTTGAGTGTTTTCTTCATTTATTTTGAAGAGGGTCTTTCTACAATATTTTAAGAAAATGTAGCCACATTGTATCCTCTGAACTCTATGATGTTGCTGTAATTATTCATAAAATTATCATTTGATGAAAGGAAGAGTCCCTTAAGTTGGACAATATAATAGTGAGTGAGTGAGTAAGTAGGGTTTTACGCCTCTTTTAGCAACATAGACCCAGGTCTTCAGCATGACGAGCAAATGCTTTAACCACTAGGCTACCCACCAACCCCCAACAATATAACATATACTGAGGGAAAAAATAAGGGATCACATGAAAGCACAAGTGTTCCCTTATTTTTTCCAGGTTTCTTCATAAGCTTTGTATCACATACCGGTAGCTTGTGAAGAAACCTGGAAAACAATAAGGGAACACTTGTGCTTTCATGTGATCCCATATTTTTTTCCCTCAGTATATATGATCATAACATATTTTGTAAATACACCAATCTTCAGGCTGAGGATCTTGCAGGTCTGTCTGTCACAAATACGCTGACCCCAACTTGCACACTCCACCTGAAGTCCATCTCGTCTGATATCATAGTCCGCTGTTTAGATGTATTTCATTACAGAGTATTCTGTAACAGGATTAAGGTAACATGATCTTCGTGCTTATAACCATGATTCAGTAGCTTCACCTTTGACAACCTGGAATACTGTGTTGTCGGTATTAAATAATAATAATAATGATAGTAATAAGTCACAGAGGGGGAGAGGGGTGTATCGAAAAAGAGAAATTGTTCTCATAATTATTTGAGAAAAATGTTGGAACACTATCAAAACCAAAAATGTCTGCGTCAAATATTCCATTGTATATTTCATAAATATATTTAATTAAAATTCTTAATTTAAAAAATGTTTGTTTTCACAGCTGTAGCTGAAACATATCTAGTCCTTTTTGGCTGTTTTTATGATATCTTAGAAGACAGTTCAACCAAGATAATCTTAGGACACTTTCATCCCAGAAGCTAATTGTCTAGCCTTGTCAAATAGGGAGTATTTATGGACCGTTCATAATATATAGCTGTGTGTGTGTGTGTGAGAGAGATAATGATTTTCATGGAAAAGCATGTACAATGTGACTGGACCACCACCCCCACCCCCATATATTAATGTACAAAATTGCTGACCACCCCCTTACCTCCCCAGAACAAAATGGGTGCTCCCCCCCAAATTAAGTAAGTAAGTAAGTAAGTATAAAAAAAATAAATAAATAAATAAATAAAAAAATAAAAATAAATAAATAAATAAAATAATCACCCCTAAATACAAATAAAATATAAATAATCATCCCCAAGGCACAAATTATGAATGGTCCCTTATGATGCGTCCACTTCAAATGTCAGGATGTAGATTTTTCCTTTTCTTCCATGTGTACCTCACTAGATCAGTCAACAGGGAAGTGTCAAGCTGATGAGCAGAATGTATTGCTCCATCCCCCACTTGACCCACTTGCTGTAGGTGTGCAGAGACTACTATTACAGCCTGGTGTGACGTTACGTCTCGTATCACATGCTGCAGGCACAATCAAGTAGTCTGTCACCCAGAAGATGGACGTAAATCATACTGACAGTTTGGCATGTGATACAATGTCAACATGCTATATTTGGATGTGCCTCTGTTCAGCTTAGTCATACATGTCTTCTTCTAAAATGTTCATTAAATACATGTTAATTGTATGCTACAGTTACCCACTACTTGTTTTGGATTTTAAAAAAAGCTTTTGCCTTTATGCTCTTTTAGTAAACTTTATGCCTGTGGAGTTTTAGTAAACTTCTGTCATTGCATGGTATCTGAATTAAGTCTGAAATCAAACTTTTGAAATAAAATATCAGATGAACTAAACGGGAATGGTGAGAGAATGTTATATATTGACTGTCTATTCAAGCTATTTTAAGTAGTTGGTTTGGTGTCAAGAATTTTGCCCTAAAATCAGGTAGGCAGGTACAAAAATTCACATTTATTGTGTTTTCTGTCATGAAATGTTATATTTGAAGTTATTAAGATAAATGTCTAACAGGTTTTAATGATGGTATTTTAAATGATAAATCATTTAGATCGTGACTTTGAATGAGTGAGTGAGTTAGTAGTTTTATGCCACTTGTAGCAATATTCCAGCAATATCACGGTGGGGGGACACAAGATATGGGCTTCACACATTGAACCCATCTTGGAAATCGAACCTGTGTCTTCGGCTGAGTCGAGCAAACACTTTCACCACAAGGGCTCCCCACTGCCCTGACTCTGAGTTGGATCTTACATTTTACATATTTCTGAATAAATCATCTGTATAGTAAGCCTGTTGTAAGTGGTGACTAAATGGGTAGGGTGGTGACGCATAATGATTGCACGTCATATGGGCTGAGTATTGGCAAATAAATTGTATTGCAATACGGGTGTCCTGCTAGTCATGGTACTGAAGGTGAGAGACCTTGTACCCATGCTTGCTGTAAGGGATAGGATGGGCTGGTGACTGCATGCCATCGTACCCAAATCAGGTTGGACTTTGCCTGTAAGATGGACTTATGAGGAAGAGGTGGTCACAAAGTGAAACATTGCTGATTGTGTGTCATACTGTATCCTTAGTCCCTTACAATGCTTACTGTCTAGGGCATAGATAATGCCTTTAATCACTGGGTTAATGGTCCACAATTGCATATGACAGGCTCCAGTGATAAAGCTGAAATATTGCCCATTGTAGTGGTAACACAATAAATATACAGCTAAACGTAAATTAAGCACCACCAAATTCAAAAGTAAATATTATCAATTAGTGTCAAGTAAGGATAATGAAATTTCACAGTATGCTATATGCCTGTATTGCCCGTGCATCACACGTATCGCAGACATAAACTGCGCAATACAGAAGATGCACGTGCTCGATACACATGCATGGGGTCGTTCGACTGAAAACACAGTATTGTTGTTTGATACTTGGTGGCTGAAATTTGAACGTTGAAGCAACAGATCTTATTGTACTGTTCCAATACAACATGCCGAGACGTAGGCTATCCGAGAACCTACGATGGAGAATCGTTGGCATGCATGAAACCGGTTTATCATGCCAGTCAAATTGGTATCAATTTGAATCTCAATCACACCATTCTTAGCCGACTGGTGCAGAAAGCACGTGCAAACTGGAGAGGTCAAAGACCAACCCAGACCTGGATGTCCAAGAAAACTAGTGCTCGTGGCGACAGGGCCTTAATTAAACAGCCAGACGCAATCAATGACCCATGCTGAAGACCTCCATAGACAATGGCGAGTGGGCGTCAGACTGTCCACGAATACCGTCCCAAAAGAGGTTAAGAGCTGCGGGATTGCGTGCAGTAGACCAGTCAGACGTCCATTTCTCACTGACAGACACATGCAAGAACGCCTGGCGTGGTGCAGGTTAAGGCAAAACCACAATCTCCGATACTGGCGCCAGAGTCCACTGGTCGGACGAAAGTCGTTACCTTTGCGTCACTGACGGCGCAGCCGGTGTCTGGCGCCAGCTGCAATGAAGCTTATAACCCGAAGTAGTTGAACACCTTGGGTCCCCTTTGGCGGTGGCTCAGTGATGGTGTGGGGTTGTGTGTCCTACGACTGCAAGCTGGACCTAATCACAGTACCACAGGACAACGTTATCAACGTGCCATCTTGGATGTTGCCGTAATACCCCATTTTGACAATCACACACTTGCCAGTCGTCCCCTGTTCATGGATGATAACGCCAGGCCTCATCGTGCCAGAGCAGTAGTCGATCATTTGAGGAACAATGCTATTGACACTATTCCATGGCCAACCAAAAGCCTGGATCTTAATCCCATAGAGCATTTATGGGATTATCTTGGGCGCCAAGTGAGAGCCAGAGATCCTCCTGTGCAGAATATGGATGAACTGCAACAGGCTCTTCAATGAGGAGTGGCAGAGAATCCCGATGCTTAGAATCAGACGTCTCATTTCAAGCATGAGAAGGCATCTTGAAAATGTGATTCGTGTTAGAGGTGGATACTCCCCATATGGACTAAACAGTTTCTAGAGATAGCCATGATGACAACAAGCATATTTATGTTGAACGTTTGACATTGCAGATACCAGTATGGACTGGACAGTGATACTTTTCAGGCCTAGTGAAATGGTCGTTTTGACGCTTATTCGCATAACTCCAATCAATTGGTATCAAAGATAATCATCGGCTTCCTTTTTTTGTGTAGTGATAGTGCAGGACATCCCTTCAGCAAAATCAATCCTCTTTACATTGAGTCAGACAGGAAATTGCACTTTTCATGATCTGAATGTTGAACTTTTCTGAAAAAAGTGGGTGGTGCTTAATTAACGTTTAGATGTATATTTAAATGCTCTTGTTCAATCAAATAAAACCATGATTATAACACAAGATGTATTTATTTTAATTTACCTATCTTCAGTGTAGACATCTGTTGTAATAATGAGATAACACGCATGTTATAGACCATTGTACATGTTGTGTTTTGACTGCTTAGGCAAAGTTGTAAAGATTTTGTATAGATCATATATGGATCTAGAAGAGGCTGCACATAACATACATGTTCTATTGCTGACTGAGCATACATGGGTAATCTTAGAGAAGTGCAATGGTAGTCCTCTCTAAAAGCACACTTCCCATCCATGACAATAGCTTGTTCAAAATAACCCATTGTTTTAGTTTGATGGTATTTTCATTATCTGCATCATCCTTAGTGGTGTCATACCTCTGAAGTAACAGTATCAAGTTGTTACTGAGCAGAGCAATATATCCTGTATTGCCCTACATTCACAATCAGGCGTGCAATAACTAGTGATGAGAACACAATATACCCAGATGTCCAGTATACACAAACTTAGAGAATGGATGCAGAAAAACAATTCTCTGCATCCAGAGGGATGCAAAATATTTATCATTGTACCCACAACACATCAATGACTTTGCTAGGTGTGTTTGGTTGTTTCTTTCAGAGCAGTTACATGCATCATTTCATCCATCAGTCCACATGATCAATGATTAATTCCAGACTCTAAAGAACTTATCAAAACATACAGTTCTCTACACCGTTACTTCACAGGACCCTCATATTGCCCACAAGGACCCTTAAAACTAATAACTGGGGGTCCCAGGGACCCCATGTTTGTGAGTCAAGGTGAAACCCGGGATATACCCATCGTAAAACATGAAACCAGACACCTGATATTGGTTACACTATTTATTCAGATTTTGCTCCATTTCATTTTCAAATATATACAATTAAATTAATTTTTAGCATGTCCAATCTCTGCCGCTGATTGAGCAAAAATATCCATGTATGCACTATGAAACAATCAGGTCATATACACAGTGAACTTCTAGTGTTAAGCCTACAATGATGTTGACTATTATATGAGTGGTCAATATTGTAATGAATGTGATTCACCTCCATTCATTATGGTCTGTATCACTGGTCTCCATGGGGACATATTAGGTGGGTGTGACTAAATCTTGATGGTCATTGTAGTAAATACAATAACATTATCTGCATTATATACATCTTGATCTTTAAACAGGATTGTCGCGATAATGCCAAAATATTGCTAAAAGCAGTTTAAAACCATACGCATCAGCTCCATACATGTCCAGACCGGTCAGACGAATTTTTTACGAGTCATCGCTTCATTTAAACTTAATGATAGAGAGAATAGAATTTGAATTGAGTGGAGCGATAGACACCAATCTTCTTATCAACAACTCTATATTTTCAACAGACAAAGGAACTGATAGCCTTGTCAATCCCTGAGTGTTTAGCAATATCAAAGCCGTATCACAACAGGAGTCATGACAATAACTCTGGACCCTTCTGGCAGGGTTGCACACACCATCTTGTAAAATATATATCTCCTGCGTATATATCTATATATGTATATACCAACAAGCAATGTGCAGGAAATGAATGATTCACTGGAGGGATATCCTGGCTCATTAGTTGTGATGAGTAAGAAGTCGTAAACCATTTCTTCAGTTGCCAGCAGACATCTGATAATCACTCACGTAAATGACGATAGCACAGTTCTGACAGTCCAATGTACAGAACTTAAAAAACCTGCTCCAAAATATGTAGAATTATTATGATTTTGGTAGCAGGGTCAACAGCAACATCTTCACAGTTAACAAACATCATTCTCATAAAACTTCTAAACATATATAAGTATCTGTACCACATGAGGAATGTCAGCTACAGCAGCCTGAATTAGATTTTGCTTTCTTTCGTAAATCCACTGTGTTCCCGTGGGATGTCTTAACTTCAACTTTGTCTTCCAGTTCGCGCAATCGTTGCACGGCGGCCTTGAATGCCTTGTCAACATTTGTAGCGTCTTTCGCACTGGTTTCATAATAAGGAATACTGCCATTGTGTCCACACCAAGTGATCGCTTCCTCGTCTGAAACTATGCGCTTCTCTACATCCACTTTATTACCAAGGACTACAAAGGGAAAGCAGTTCCCATCCTGAATATCAGCATAGTACAAAAACTCCTTCTTCCACATCGACAGGTTCTTAAAGCTCTGTAGGTCATCCACAGCGTATGTGAGAAGGCAGCAATCGGCACCTCTGTAAAACGGTGTCCTCAAGCTCTTGAACCGCTCCTGGCCTGCTGTGTCCCAGATCTGCATGGTGTAATTTTCTCCATTGACCTCAACATCTTTGTTTAGAAATTCTACGCCTATAGTGTGGAAGGACTGAGAATCAAATTTATTGCTGACAAAACGATTCATCAATGAGCTTTTCCCAACTCCACCGTCACCCAGGAGAACCACCTTGAGCAGTTTGGATTTCCCGCTTGCCATCTTGAATCAAAGTCAGGATCTGTGGACAGAAGTGTAAAACTTAGAGATATGTTGAAACTTATTCATTTTCTTTCTTTTACTTACTATCACTGAAAGTGGATTAGCGCCTAAGAAGCAATATTCCACCTACATCATGGCAATCTGATGATAATTGATTCTGTGATAACTGCATGGACATTGTTCCAGGGTCTTCTTTCACAAAGACATCATGACTGTTGCCAGTGTACTCAAACAGTGACCTCTGACAATAACACTGCATGGTGAAAGGATCACCTGGCCGTTATGGTATGACTCCACACACTGTGACCAAATGAACTTATTAGTCGAACTGCTTGTAGAGGGGACCTATTCTGTCAATATATTAATATTATTATTCACTGAAAATTGTCAAAGTAGGCCAAGACAAAACAGAGAGTGAGGTTTAGAGTCGCTTTTAGCACGATTTCAGCAAATCATGGCAGGGGACACCAGAAATGCTAATACGATGTGCAGTTGATATTGACATCCAATGATCGAGGGAAAAAATACCAGTGCCTTGAGCATGCACTAGTGCGTGGATATGTGCGCTATATAAATATCCTATAATAATAAAAAATAAAAATAAATGGGCTTCACACTGCACCCACGTATTGAACACAGGACTTTGGTGTGACAAGCAAATGCTTTAGCTACTAAGCTACTCGAGGGCCCTTTTACAAATTAGACATACCGGTAAGAATATATTAATATTATTATTCACTGTAAATTGTCAAAGTACACCAAGACAAAGCAGTGAGGGAGGTTTAGAGTCGCTTTTAGCACGATTTCAGCAATATCACGGCAGGGGACACCAGAAATGGGCTTCACACACTGCACCCAGGTATTGAACACAGGTCTTCCGTGTGATAAGCAAACGCTTTAGCTACTAGGCTACTCGAGGGCCCCCTTAACACATACCGATAGGAATATGATATCATTTTACATGCAAGTTAAAAGACCTGGTTAGGCCAGACCAATTTTATTTCTTGTCTTACAGATCTGCCAGTCATATTTTTTCAAGAATAACAAAAGAAAAAAATAAATAAAATCCTTATGTTTTTATTGGCCAAAAATGTAAACTTACAAGAATTTAAAAATATATTTTGGGCCCCATATACACTTCATAAATTGCCAGAAGAAAAATACTTTTAATATTTAGAAAGAATATTACTTTAACTTGTGATTTTATTTTTATTTTTTTCCTCCTGCGTTTAGGTTTTCTGAGGACAAAAATCCGTAAAACAAGAAATAAAATTGGTCTAGCCTTATGATGGAATTTAAAAAAATCTTGAAGTAATTAAAGATCACCCAATGCTGAAATATTACCTGATTATTGTAAAATATCTAGATCAACTATGACGATTTACAAAATATTGGGCACTTCTTCACAACAATATTCATCATATAACAATTAAATCCACTACCTAACACAACAAAATACCACATATTCCTGCTGCAAGCCCCATACAACTGCTGCAAGTTGTACAGTATTGATCACGTGATAGTACATGACAGAAAGTGATGAATATGCTATCTGACCATATCTCTCTGTATCACCCGGTGAATATATACCATGTGCCAGTCACCTGACCAGTTGCATTCCAGGCTATCAGCAGATCAAGGCTACATGTGACAATTATATACACTCTTCAGGTAGATACGATGTATTTACTGCTAAATCTGCGTCACAGCAGATTATTTTCAGAGCTGACTAATTATAGCAAGCCACCCTACAGACATTGGCTGTTCTGTTAAACAAATTATTGTGGTCATTCAGGCCCGACTTTTGACAGTACCCCTTACTCAAAGGAGAATATAGGGTGTGTACAGCCTTCCTCATTTTGAAGCATACTGATAAATGTAACATATACTGAACAAAATGTATCAAATCATTGACACTTACATTATAATAAAAGGCAATATTTGCCCATCAAACCCCACTGCATTACACATGTTTTCAATTATATTTGTATTACTGTGTTTAAAGTTTTTATTGGCTCACGGTCTACTAGTTTCATCAATGTATAAACATAGCCATCCATTGTGTTTATTTACAACCAGGAAATACATTGTGCCGATACTACAATCCTCCCTCATGATGACACCCTTCAAGATAACATAGATTGTTAAATCACATGGTAATCAATAGATATATGTTTCAGTATTTTCCCAACAAACACACAAGTTTACACTATCTGGAATACCACAGGACCAAATCTGAACGTATTTTTGCAAGTTAATGCTGTTTTATTACTTTTAACACTATCTGGTAAATAAATGTGTCTGCTGTATACCTTGACTTGTCACGGTTGCTGATTTATTAAAGAGAGTACCAACTAGGGCTGGTTGCCGATATTGATAACAGTTAACTAAATATCGATAAATTATTGATAGATTTGTTTGTTTGTTGTTTAACGCCACACACAGCAATATTCCAGCTATATGGCGTCGGTCTGTAAATAATCGAGTGTCAACCAGATGATCCAGTGATCAACAACATGAGCATTGATCTATTCAACTGGGATATGATGACATGTGTCAACCAAGTCAGTGAACCTGGCCACCAGATTCCATTAGTTACCTCTCATGACAAGTATAGGTAGCTGAAGACCAATTTTAACCCAGATCTTCATGAGTAAATTATTGATAGAACAAGTATATATGGATGACAACGTCTTTAATTCTAGAGCTCGACGTTCAATACAGGTTCTTGTATCGTTTTCAAGTTTTCATTCATACTTAAAAGATACAAGAACCTGTATCGAAACGTGGTGCTCTAGAATTAAAGAAGTTGTCATCCATATATACTTGTTCTGACTTCCAACTTCTAAAATGCCACTCAAAGAAGTAAACTACTGAAATATACTGAAGAAATGACACCAACTGTACCAAGCAAAATGCAACAAATAATCTTTTACCAGCCTGAAAATTGTTCAGTCACAGAGTTTCTATCAAACCAATGGTAAAAGTGGCAGTCCACAAGGAAATGTCACTTCCTGAATTTTAATAGTCAAAAACCTGTGGACAATGTTGATTTTGAACACTGCTTACAACATGTATAAATGTCCAGAAAGTATCATTTTTCCGTTATATTACTCATGTCTTAAGTAACCCATGCTTGTCGTAAGAGGTGACTAACGGGTTTGGTGGTCAGGCTCACTGACTTGGTTGACACATGTCATCGTATCCCAACTCCGTAGATCGATGCTCATGCTGTTGATCACTGGACTGTCTGGTCCAGACTCGATTATTTACAAACCGCTGCTATATAGCTGGAATACTGCTGAGTGCGGTGTTATACAACAAACCAAGCAATCAACATTGATCACATAGTAACATATACCAGATATGGTTAGCATGCTTCGTGAAATTGTTTATGCGCATAATATGTTTATGTTTATATATCTAACACTTGCCGCCATATAGCTGGAATATTGCTGAGTGCGGCGTAAAACTAAACTCACGGTAGCACTTGCATAACATGCACAATGCTCTCCTCACAAAAATAGTTTTCTTAGTTTTCTATCTTCCTTCCTTCTAATCTTGGGCATTCAGGGATAGAAATACTTTTTGTTCTAAGTGTGCCCTAGGGCACCAGGCAAATATTTTAGGTGTGCCTTTCAGAAATCAGGTGTGCCCACATGTTTAAGAATAAATGACTGTAGCAAGGATGATGATCTTTTGAAATTTATTGTCAGAAAACAACAAATGTAACCAGTTTTCTGTTATCACTGATATGTTTTCTGTTTAAGTTGGCTTTCTAATGTTTCATTTGTTCTGCTTTCCCAACACCTTTAATAGCTAAGAATTGTGTGAGAGGTTCACTTTTTTCAATAAATCTAACATACATAATTTCCTCTTCAATAACTGAACCATCAGTACTCCCAACACTCTAAATGAAAAAAACCAACCAGATTTCTTTACATGATCCATCATAATTCCAGTGATTTCCTAGGTGATAAAGTCAATAGATGTTTTTGCTTGGTTGTCATTTGCATAAGTGGTTTGTTTGGTTATTAAGTGACTAAAGGTGTGTTATGTCTCTAAAAAAATTAGGCGTGCCATAGGAGAACATTTATTATCCATGCCATTTCGATATTTACCGTGCCATGGCACGCTAATATATGGGGTATTTCGAACCCTGGACTTCTAAATCTAAATTTTGCAAACCATTTCTTGAGTTAGCAGTAAACCTCAAATGCCAACTTAAAAATGACACACAATAAAGAATCTCTTCTCGTATGGTTCAGAGATATTCTGAATGACATATCTGACCTCTTTTAGCTGGTAACTAACACAAGTTTCATTCATATATCCCTGGTCAAAAGGTGACAGATGACACTTCAATAACATTGATCCATTTTATAGAAATACCCATGCACAGTCCACTCTAACTAGGTCACTACACAGCAGTACTTGCTGATTCTACCAGGCCTAGTGAGCAACAGCAGGTTGTCAGTAGCAATGAATATTATACACTGACTGACTGACTTTGGTTTTACGCCGCTTTTAGCAATATTCCAGCAACATCACGGCAGACACCAGAAATGGGCTTCACACATTGTACCCATGTGGGGATTCGAACCCGGGTCTTCGACGTGACAAGCCAACGCTTTAACCACTAGGCTACCCCACCACCCCCGAATATTATACACAGTTTAGTCATGTTAGTAGTCCATATAATCAGCTAGTCACAGTTACATTGCAGTCTACAACAGCATACAGTGCCCCATACAAAGTTTTGATCAAGTCTTATAAAACGGGTTCAGCAATGCTGTTAATAAATAATACAAAACTTTACTATGTTGCGACAAACTGATTTAGTTCAGTTAATGCCTCATTCAACACTATTTCAGCTATATGATGGTGGTCTTCAAATAATCATGATACTTGATTCTCGACACTCTCGAGTCAGACTCCATGATCATCAATCTACACAGTTGGGATACATAGGCATGTAGGGTTTTACACGACACACAAATGCGCATCCAGTACACACAAATGTAGAGAATGGATGCAGAAAAGAAATTCACTGCATCCAGAGGGATGCAAAATATTATTCATTGTACCCACAACACATCAATGACTTTTCTAAGTGTTTGGTTGTTTCTTTCAGAGCAGTTACATGCATCATTTCACCCATCAGTCCACATGATCAATGATTCATTCCAGGCTCTAAAGAAATTATCAAAATATACAGTTCTCTACACTGTCACAGGACCCTCATATTACCCACAAGGACCCTTAAAACAAATAATTGGGGGTCCCAGGGACCATGTTTGTTATATGCTAGTTGAGGTATACACCTGTCAGCAATGAATGCCCATAATTAATATATAAGCCACCATGATGCAGCTGAAATTTTGACAGCAGTAATCAACCTAACAAAGGAAGTATAGATCTGACTGACTGTTGTTTTATGACACAGTTAGTAGTATTCCAGCAAGAGCTACAGATAACTTTTTGGGTCATTGAGTTATGTACTTGCTTGTGTTCATCTCAGTTGGCCTACTACTTGGGTGTCCTAATTTTCCTTTGAGTAACCAAATAAACTGTACTCACCCCACTCAAATTCAATTGGGCATTTTGCCATTTTCTATCAATTGTAAAAATATAATGAAGTTTAAATGTCAGTGTTTGTTATTTATATTTGATCTGCAATATGAGCAACAATAGGAAAGACTGCAAGTTGCCAAGTTCATGTCCTTAAATAGAACCTCTCAACATACCCCAGTTATTTTATCTATCCACCGGTACGCAAGCTAAGATTTGACATTTTTGTGTGTACGCATGTAGGATCACATTTATTGAGCATTTACAAAAATTCAATTTGTACGCAATCGACGTAACAGGAGTTGGGTTATCACATAAATATTTGCGTAATTTATGCAGATACGCAGGTTAACTCTGTCCAGCTACATCAGTTTATCATGTATATTAATATTACTATTATTAACATGACAGATTTGTAGATTTGCAGCTGAATGATTTATTTTATAATTAAACAAAATCAACTGACGCAGTCATGTTTTGATTTGGGTCAGAATAGGTTCCCAGCACTCAATATCTTCTAACTAGCTTTGACTAGTACTCAGTACTAGTAATCTGAAAGGTCTGGTAACATTTGGTGCAATCTGATCAGCTCAGCTAATCACGATATTCCAATTATTACATTGCACTCTAATCAAAATGATAGCAAGAGACAAGTTCGAGCAAGTAGATACAAACATTATAATGGCTTTGATAACGACAGCTTTGAGACAAATAATAATTTGCAATTATTGCTGATCAAATTGAAATGGTTACTGAAAAATGATACCAAAACAAACCAGCAAATACCATATTGGCTGAACATGGTAAGAACTGTAATGTTTGATATGGCACGCCAGTACCATGCACTGTTAAAACATAATGAATGCCAGAGATAATTAACATAAATACATAACAAATATTCAGTTAATGAACAATATGGATGATAATCATCATGAACATAAGAAAGGCATGAACTGATTTATTCAAAATTTAAACCCAACATTTCTATTACCAAAACAACCATACACTGAAATGTAATAATACACAATCATTATCATATCACATATTTTCCCATTTCTTCTCAAAGTGAACAAACAGCAACAGTGTCTGAAGGGTGTCATCTTTCATCTTCGTGTTCAGCAATAACTTTTAAAAAGACATGATAAAAGGCCACATGGTTATTTAAACAGATTTGCAAAGTGCTTGGAATAAATAATGTAACTGAACATGTTGAAACAGTTATGCTTCCAGAAAAATCCAAGATGCATCTAGCATATTTATCTATTTCAAAACAATTTGATGTCAACAGGTGCAACAACCACCTTGCCTGCTGTGCTAATTACTAGTATATCTTGCTGTGAAAGCCACTTTCCAGCATGCCCCGTCAATGCTTTCTTGTCCAGCCCTAATTCTACATGTTCTGAGCGTCATTGTTTGTATAACAGAAAATAATTTATTGTAAGGGCGACAATGTAGCATAAACTTTAAGAGTGTGAACAATGGAGTGATTTAATTGGATATGTCAATGTTTTTATGTTCAGTTGAAACACTACACACTACCAAGCTAGAATCTGTTTAAAATACTTAGAAATAAGTGAGGGAAGGGGCAAAATCTCAAAGTGACACAAGTTTGTCCCAGTAATTTAGTAGAAACATGGCTATGATGTGGACAATCCTGATAAATCAAGAATATTGTGGAATGGGCAAGTAAATATGAGATTCACGCACATAGCCTTCAGCTCAGACTAACAGATGTAGAACCTCCGATAAACAGCTACAGGTTTCTGATGGGATGATTAAAGTGTATAGTGTTTACGCAGCTTTTAGCAACATTCCAGCAATATCATGGCGGGCTACACCAGAAATGGGCTTCAAATATTTTACCCATGTGGGGAATCCAACCTGGGTTGTCACTGTGATTTGCGAATGCTCTAAACACTTGGCCACATCATCACCCCTCTGATGGGACCTAAACAGCAGACTATAGCTAGTACTGGTAATGATAATGAAGACACTCAACATGCTCAAATAGTCAATGAGTATTCAACATCCTCATTGGCCATGGCCATGTTTATATCTTTGAAATATTAAATCATCATGATAGAAAGGTTTTTTCTTCTACTAATTCTTATAAAAGTACAAACGCAATCATAAATTCATTTTGACACGCGACATATGTTTTACCTCTTCACAATTTCGTAGGACTTGAAGTAGTGTATTTATACAGGAAAGAGCTTTGGTTATTTTGGGATGAAATTTAAAAAGTTGGACAAATAAATTTGCATATTGGAAAGTATAATCTTTTGATTATATTCATTGTTAAAATTAAAAGCCTTAAAAGAAAACAGTTCGACTGTTTAGCTAAATTACTTCTGCACTTTCCTTCTGTCACCCCGTCACAAGTTGACACAGCCTTCCCATCGGTCACGAGACATTTTACGTTTGACAATGTCTGAAGTCACACGGGATGGACACCCCTGTCAACTATCGAACAGTTCCCAAATGTGAACCATAGCATACACTGTCCAGAACATACTCACGTCACAATTAAATCAGGCCGCTACTTACGTCCTATGTCTTAACGCAGCAATGTGAATTCACATAATTTCTTGACAACATCTTTCCGACATGATGGTTACTTGACGTCATTTAGGTCATGTGACGAATCACCTGACAGAGGGATTCCCTTCCGGTGTGTTAAGACTATTTGCAGCACAACTAGCATAGGTATAAAATCTACCGTGCGTGAACGTGTTTCTTTTGAACTAAACATACAGTAGCGTTACAAAATGTTACAGATTATGTAATATAGTCCCGCAGCTTCCCATGAGGTCATGAACGCGAAACGGTTGTCATACACTGAATGTTTTGTTTGATCTGCATGTGCGTCAACAGACAGGCTTTGGGGATTTTACGACCGCTTTCGGCGTGTACCGTTTTAGACAGGCCTCAGTACCAAAACATATCTGACATGTCCCAAGTAATATTAAATTGAAATCACATGTTATTACAAGGGTCTCAGATATCCTCAAGTTAAAGGATAAAATTGTGGGTTGTAAGTCCATATTCCCGTACAAACGTAATTTCTTGTATAAGTGTTAGAACTGATCTTCAGTAACCCATGCTTGTCGTAAGAGGCGACTAGCGGGATCTGGTGGTCAGGCTCGCTAACTTTGTTGACACATGTCATCATATCCCAATTGCGTAGATCGATACTCATCCTGTTGATCACTGAATTGTATGGTCCACACTCGATTATTTACAGACAGCCGCCATAGAGATGGAATATTAACTCTAAAGTCACTCACTGGTTGGGAGATTACGTCTGCTTGGACAGAGTGTAGCCGAGAGCCGCGATGCGGTCCCATAGAGTCACTGTATAGGACCGCATCGCGGCTCTCGGCTAGGACAAGTGTTGTTGCTGTCTCCTTGTCCATGAGGTGACGTGTAATGCTGATATTTCTGATATGAAAGAAAATGCCAGCTTGAGGACAAGGCTGACTTGCGACTCCGGGCTCGCATACTTGTCAAACAGGACACCGAATAAGACTATCTCCTACCACAAGAGGAGCAAGTGAAAGTCTGGAATGATATCGTCTATTACTAGAAAGTCAGTTTTTTGTCTTCATTCAACTCTGGGAAATTGTTGGCCACCCGCGAACCAAATGCTTGACACACAGTTGCTTATGGCAGAGAATGTTTGTTGAATTGAGTTTCCACTGTTGGGCCTGAAAGCCCGATATATTGGAATACGAGCTGTATATAGATTGTATCCTAATCCCCGGTTCCTGATGATGTCTCCAATAGGTGAGTTAGACAGTCATAATACAGAGAGAACAAAATCGGACCTAAGATGTATCCTTGAGGAACCCCATATCCAATAAAGTTCTTTGCGAAGGTACTTCATTTAAGAAAACAGACTGATATCTTCCTGGGAACTACCAAGACTGGAGCTGCAGCTCCATTCAGAACCACAGCTTCAGTCAGGTCATTGTGTACTCGCAGAGGCGTGTTGTCTCTGTACTACGATTCTCACTGCAAGCTGACTTCGACATGCTGGCAGTTGGAGTGAGTGAGTGAGTTTAGTTTTACGCCGCACTCAGCAATATTCCAGCTATATGACGGCGGTCTGTAAATAATCGAGTCTGGACCAGGCAATCCAGTGATCAACAGCATGAGCATCGAATTGCGCAATTGGGGACCGAGGACATGTGTCAACCAAGTCAGCGAGCCTGACCACCCGATCTCGTTAGTCGCCTCTTACGACAAGCACGGGTTGCTGAAGACCAATTCTAACCCGGATCTTCACGGGTCTGCTGGCAGTTGGAAAGTGTTCCTTCAGACTGGCGGAGACAACGCGTTCCAGAACCTTCGAGACCAACAGTAGATTTGATACAGGCCTGTAGGTCTTTAGCACTTCGGCACATTAGGTACAAAACCTTTCTCTAATGAAAGATTTACTATCATAGTTATGAGGTGAGGTGAGGTGAAATTGGGTTTTACGTCGTGCTTGAGAATATTTCGCTCATATGACGACGTGCATGCGTGTGTATGTGCGGCTGCTTGTACTAGCCCAGACTTAAGCTGGTTTTATAGTGCTAGCCCACTTAGATACCATGCCGCAGTGAAGCATGAATACCCCACTCAGACACATTATACTGACTGCGAGCCGACCAGTCCTTGTTGTACCCATTAATGCCGAGCGCCAGGCAGGGACCAACAAGTACGATATCTTAACGTCTTTTGGTATGACGCGGTCGGGGATTGAACCCGCGACCTTTCGCTCTCCGGGCGGACGCTCTAACCACTACACCACGGAGGCGGTCATCATAGTTATGAACCCAATTGACGACTGGTGAGCTTCCTTTAGAAGATATGCAGACATCATATCCAAATAACACGATTTAGTTGGACTTTGTCAAATCACTTCATTTCAAATTCAGTAGTGGGTCTGAAATCTACTGTTTTACAGAGGTAGAGATAAGCTGTGTATCTGCGTAAATTACGCAAATATTTATGTGAAAACTCAATTCTTATTAATTTCTATTGCGCACAAGTAAGCCTGACTTTTTGTAAATACTCAATAAATTTGATCTTATTATACATGCGTACACACAAAATGTCGAATCATTGCTTGCGTACCGATGGATAGATAAAATAACAGGTATATTGAGAGGTTCTATTTCAACACATGAACTTGGCAACTTGCAGTCTTTCTTATCGTTTCTGATATTACAGATCCAATATAAATAACATTTAAACTTTATTATATTTTACAATTAATGGAAAATGGCAAAATACCCAGTTGAGTTTGAGTGAGGTGGGTACAATTTATTTGTTCACTCAAAGGAAAATTAGAATACCAATTGAGATGAACACAAGCGGGTACATAACTCAATGACCCAAAAGTTATCTGTAGCTCTGCTACAAGTTGATGATTATCTGGAAGTCTAGATGGTCGACCGGACTGATAATTCTTTCTGGTTGTCGTAAGGTGGGGTCTTAAAGACATCTTTGCCAATACCTGGGTTAGTGAGTGAGTCCCAACTGGACTATTGCAATTCTTTATTATACGGACTGCCTCTAAATGATGTTGCAAAGCTTCAATGGGCCCAAAAATGCAGCTGCCAGGGTTGTTGGTCGCACAAAGAAGTATGACCACATCACACATGTACTTAACGAACTGGCTGCCAATGAATTTTAGAATTCATTTTAAGATCCTAACACTGATTTGTAAAGGGCAAAGCATTGACTGCCACCATCATATATCGGTGATCTTATTAAAGATCATGCTCAATCTCGATCTTTAAGATCCAGAGCCAACATTAAATTTTGTTGTCTATACCGAAATGTCCCTTAATCTCCTATGGTGACAGAACCTTCTGAAAAAGCTTGTCCAGTACTGTGGAATGCCCTTCTAGAGAATCCCAGAAACATTCAGGAACTATCAGACTTTAAGTCTGACTTGACTTCTTCAGATTGTCATACACCCGAATACCCGAAAGTATCACAGAGCAGACTTCATGAACTGGAAATAGGTTCTATATAAATAAATGATTATTATTACTATTAATTATGCCACTGCAGTGTCAAAGAATGTACATATGAAATACGTTAATGCATGTTCAATTATGCCCCGTCATATAACGAAAATACTATAGAGTTCAGCGTCAAACAAACAAACAAAACGTAAAATACAACAGATGCTCTGCACGATTGAGTGGACATTAATCAGTAGTCGCATGTGGAATAGTATCGGCCGTCGTACCTTTCTAAACTTCAAATGCGACCGGTGCTTGACATCTGTTGCCCCATTTACATCAACAGTCAACAGTCATTATTGATCAGGACAACTGAAATAACACTAGATGTTGATATTGATAGCGTAGTTATGGATAAGCGTTCTGTATGTAATTTGACTCTTTTATTATTGTATTCGATCCAGAAACAGTGCGTGACCGTACCACAATTCGAGATCGCTGGGCTTTACGGCTTACAGGTTTTACGTACATGGCTGTGTGTACGCTTGCACGCGGATTATTATTGATGTGAACGGTTTCCAAATGGAATTATTATTTGGAACAATCTCCCAGCCCTTACAACACCAGCGTATGAGTAGACGGATATCTTTCGTTCTAAATACACTTTGTAAGAAATATATACTGAGAGAAACAAGTAAGGAACGCCACTTCATGGCACCGTTCCTTTATATGTTACTCCACATTTCCTCCCTCAGCGCTATTCAAAGTTGGTGATGAAAACTGGAAAATATTAAAGGAACACTTGAATTTTCCCGTGATCCTTTATTTGTTTCTCTTGGTATTAACCAACAGGATAAAATCTAACGGGATTGTTGTGATACACTGTCCTTTCTGGGACCAGCATGGACTAATAAATTATTATTTTATTGCTGTGGTGCTGACTTTGATTTTGGTAGGTTAATGTATCACTTCGTGCATGTTTGTTTGTGAACTTTGTGCGAAAAGACGATAAAAATGGTATTTGTTGTTTCCTTGCCTTGAGTTCGGGGGATGGGGGTGTGCAACGAGGTCTGGTTGGTTCCTAGTAAGAAATATAGGTAAGGGAATAGGTACTAGAGTAAAACAGTAAGAAACAGAATTCCAGGATGAAAATATTTGTCCAAACAGACCCAATATCATCCGACAGAGTAGAAGTCCCGTGTCTGTGCCCGAGGTATGCACACCAGGGCGCGTCGTCAACTAGCCTTTAAGGGTTATATGGTGACGTCCAGTGCTGCAACGGATGCATATGACCTAACCTTCCAGGGCCTACAACCCATAAAGGTCCGGGTTAGAACTGATCTTCAGTAACCCATGCGTGTCGTAAGAGGCGACTAACGGGATCGGGTGGTCAGGCTCGCTGACTTGGTTTACACATGTCATCGTATCCCATTTGCGTAGATCGATGCTCATAATGTTGATCACTGGATTGTCTGGTCCAGACTCGATTATTTACAGACCGCCGCCATATAGCTGGAATATTGCTTAGTGCGGCGTAAAACTAAACTCACTCACTCACTCAAACTGAACCATGTGTACATATGTTCCGTGCAATATGGTTGATAATTACACCAAAGGTCAAGGTCACGCCGTTTAACGACTTCCCCCTTACCACTGCGTCCTGAACCCCAAAAAGTA